GGAATGCTGGTCCTAACCCTCCTAGGTGAGTTCTGTTTTGACTCCCAGGATAGTTCCAGCCCCCAGATCTAGCCACTTAGCGGCTAAAGCCACCCGAGGGCAGGACGGGAAGGGACGTTTTCTTGGTCATTGCCAGCGGAGAACCAGGTCATAAGCCCAGATGCCCTGTATTGCCAGCCTGGCCCCAGGCTGCCCACTTTTATGGCTGGTGAGCCCCATGGCGTCTTGGCTCTGCCCAAAAATGACCAAGGAATCGTTGTCTTTTCCCAGCGAGTCTCTGGTTGTTAGCCCGCGCACTGTCATCTCTTCCCATGCTGGGTAGATACAGACTTCCAGGCCAGGAGCATGGATGGCAGGTCTTGGGCAGGGTCCAGGAGCAGGCATTGAACTGTCTGAAGGCAGTGACCACTGGGCCGCGCTTTGGGACCAGTTGAGTGGTTTCCTGATTGCATTGCGGGTGTGTGTGTGAGCATCGGCATGCCCTGACTGTGTACATGAGTGTGCAGGCGCGGGAGTGGGGGCTTGTTAACCGAGACTTGATTGATAAAAATATCAACAATGGTGCCCCCTGTGTAAAATGAGATTTCAAGAGCATTTTGGCTCTATATGCATGTACAGTTTTAATTTTTTTTATAATGAGCCTGTACTTTTTAAAAACAAAGCCACCCAGCCTTTCTCCTAAGCAGGGACGGGCAGGACTATTATAGAGGCACAGGAGTGGGATCTCTTTTACCTCCCAGGGCCCGGGCCCTTCTCTCTGGGGCTCCCCCCTCCTGAGCTGGCCCCCGTAGCCTGGAGAGAGGAGCAATGTCCCCCCTCACCTTTTTCTTTTCCTTTTTTTTTTTTTTTTAGAGATTTATTTATTTATACAAGAACTGGGTTACAGGCCAGATGTGCAGGAGGGTGAGAGGATTCACCAGAGACAGAGTAGGGAGCAGAACAGGCGGATTGACTGAAATACACTGCTGAGGGGAGCAGCGGGCGCGACAGGAGAGGTCTGCCATGCCATATGGGTATCTCCACGGCCAGCCGGGATCAAACCCACACTGCAGAGGCTGCAGACAGCTTCACAGCGCTGCGCTCAACCGCCTGCGCCACCAGGGAGGCCCCCACCTCACTTTTTCACATGGCCCGTCTTAGCAAAGCCAGGGCCGTAGTTGTAGCTGGGAGTTTGGGGTGGTGGAGCCAGGCCACGAGGCTGGGCCTCCCTTCCTTTCTGTGCCCCACCCTGGAGCCCCAGGCCTGCAAGCCCCCCTCTGCCCTGCCCGGCATGCAGGCACCCTGGCCAGCCGGGCCGCGCGGGGATGGTGATTTTACAGCGCTGTTATTACTCTATTGTTGCCCCGTAAACCCACACCCGGCCCCACAAACACTCGGCAAGAAGGCCAGACCCTGCCAGAGAAAGGGGTTCCTGTACCTTTACAACGTGAGAGGCGCGGTAGAAAAAAAGGGGCCGTTGGATTTATGGAAACTATATAAAGTTTATGGAGTCTTGGCAGGCCAGGAGTAGAAAAGGCCTGTGGAGTGGGGGCGGGAGTTTTTCGGAGCGGACAGGGCCGTGAAAGCGCCCCAGACCTTTATGTCGGGACACGGAGCAAACGCAGGGCCTCGAGGCGGCCCCCGGGCCGGCCCTCGGATGGCCTCACGCTGGCTTCCGTGAGCCTTTGCCGCATCCCTGCGCGAGGTGCGCTTGCCCTCCCTCTGCAGAGGGGAGACTGAGGCGCAGGTGTTTTGAAAACGGCAGGCTTGCCCAAGGTCACGGCGCTCCGGGCGCGGCTCTCGGCGGATGTTCTGGGCGGGCCAAGTCTCAGCTCCCCTGCGTGTTGAGCAGCGTGTCCCAGTTTCGGGCTCCGTACCCTATTTCAGGCTGGGACTCATCTGCTATTTGCGGTTTAGTCTCACGGTCCCTGGTGCCTTCTCTCCCCTGGCCCTCCCCCAGCCCATCCTGGCTGCAGAGGCTGGTTTGTGCTGCAGATCACCTGTGACCCCGGCTGGAATGGAAGCAGAGTTGCCCAGAGGTTGGCTCTGGGTCAGGGCAGAAGCCCCTCATGTCCACCTCTATGATGGGATGCTCCTAGGACCCCTGGAGGAATACCCCACGGGCATCCTGTCTCCGCCAGACCTAAACATTTCTAATTCCTTCCTCCTTGTATATGTGCCTCCTTGCATATGTGGCATCTGTATTCTCTCTCCTACTTGGCTGAGACTTCTTGGAGTGTAGGCTCCATGAATGCTTAATTCTTCCTATCTGATTTTGCCCCTTAGGGTCTGGCATGGTTCCTGAATAAATACTGGGTGGTGGGGGGATGGATGGATAGGTGGATGGATGGTTGCAGGATGGATGAATGGGTGGGTGGGTGGATGGTGGGTGGATGGATGGGTGGACTCACAGTGGATGAACAGACTGACAGATGGACAGGTGGGTGAATAAGTGACGAAGTGAATAAGGCAGGGTCCAGGAGCTAGCATTGAACTGTCCGATGGCAGTGGGCCGCAGTTGGGGGGCAGTTGAGTGGTGTCCTGATTGAGTCCATCCATGAGTGGATGGACTGATAGGTGGGTGCTTGGGAGGGATAGATGAGGTCGGACACCCACTTCCTCATCTATACCCCAGTTACACTCACAGCCTGCCGGGTTCTCAGACGTCACTGAATGCACTTCTGTTTCAGGGGGCATACTTTGCTCCCTCTCAAACCATATGGAGAAACCGGCCTGAGTGTTTGAATATGTGTGTAAATACTTTACAATCCCCATAAACTTGTTTAAAGACAGGTGGGGGTGAAAGTATAAACTGGGGTAGCCTTTGGGGAGGGCACTTTGGAAGTAGCTATTAAAATTTTAAGCGTGCCTACCACTAAGACCCAGCAGTTCCACTCTTAGTTGTCAAACACGAGAAAAATACTCTTTGGTGTGTGCACGGAGCCACGTACACAGACTGGACTGCCCAGGACAGGGCGAGGACAGCAGCGGGGTCCGCCTGCAGGGGACAGCAGCGAAATCTAAATACCCGTCCTATGGGAAAAGCTGCAGCGCTAGAAAACTCTCCAATCTTCTAGAAAACCCTGAAGACTCTCTGTTCTGTGGCCTCAGCAAATGCCCCCTATTTCTGCTTCTTTCTATCAACTTCTTTTCTCTTCTCCCTCCTCTCCCAGCCCACGAAACACAGTTTACTGGAATTAGATCTTTAATCCTTAGGCCTGCTTGCCAGTGACCTTCCCTTGCAGAGAAGGAGGAAAACGAGAAAAATGTGGTTATGTGCATAATTACTGTCTGCTGAGTCTTCAATTAAAAAAGATTGAAAGGCACAATATTAAAATTTGATTTATGGGCGCCACTATCTACCTAATAATGAGGCTGAAGGGGAAAAAGAACCACAGTCGTTACAGAAAGCCGGAGCCTTTTTTCTCCCCCAGGAGATAAATTGCCTCTCATTTTCGTTTTGCTGAAGAAATGTGAAATGGTTTTAAGTGGATGTGATATGTTCTTCCAGTATGCTGAAACCCAGACCACAGTTATTTGGGAGTCATCTGGTTCCGACTTGTCAAGGAAGCTTCCCTAGAGAGGTGGCAGCTGGCGGCTGCGGGGGCTGCCACCTCCAGGTCCGCCCAGCACCCCAACCCATCATGGGCACCGCCACCTGTGATGGAAACTCCTTCAGGTCTAGGAAACTCCACCAGGCCTGGGAAGGAGTAGAGAGGGCACGGAGCCCGGAGTGATGGGCAGGTCCAAGTCCCAGCTGTGCTGTTAATTAGCACTTGACCCTCAGTTTCATCCTCTCTAAAATAGGAATGATCTTGCTCACTGTGGGACCTTGGGGCACAGGTTTGCAGCAAGGACTGAGAATCATTGCTTCTAGAGCACCTCAGGGTGCCTGCCACACAGCCAGTGCTGGGTGCTCATTGTTTTGATCATTATCATGACGCAGACACCTTCGCTATCATGGGAAGAGCTGGGATTTGAACCCTCGCCCTTCCATTTCCTGGGTGCTGCCTGATGGGGGGAGGGACAGATCTGGGTTGGATACCCAGCTCTGCCCCTCCAGCTGGTGCCTGGGACAGGTGGTGTTACTTCTCTGCACCTTGTTTTGTTCATCTTCAGAATAATCCTTTCTGTGATGTCGTCAGGTTTAAAAAAGAATGGGAAGAAATTGTCAGGATGCAATGAGTGCTGGGTGGATGCCAGTGACGGGGGCGAGGAGAGGGCTTTTCTACGAACCTCCTTTGGGAGAGCTGTCCGCTGGGAGAAGGGACGGGGTCCGGTTTATGTTCTCTAGGCCCACGGTGGCCTCGCAGCAGATTCTTGCAACACAGTGCTCCCTGGCTGTAGACATACAGCTACAAGAGAATGAACTGCTGTAGTGCCAGGACTGAGCTGGGCTCCAGGCTGCATTTTCCTGACGGCCGCCTGGGCGTGAGCTGCTTCTGATCTTCAGATGAGATACAGGGACAAGCGACTGTCCAGGACTGTCCAGAGCTGGGGGATGGCCGGGCTGAGAGTCGGATCCAGGACTGTTCAGCTCTTCCCGCCATGCCCTGGAATGTTCTAGACCTGCAGCCCAATTGCGCGTCACCGACCTGCCCTCCGCTGCCCTGGCTCTCCTCCATCCCAGCTCCTGGTTGCCATCATGCCGGCAGGCTGCTGTCCAGCACCGTTGCCTTGTGGTTTTCATTTGTGTCTTCTGGCCTCTGCATCTTAAGCTGGAGCTTCAGATGCCCAGATGCGAACATTCGGTTGTGTGAACATTTTGTTCTGTGCGCTTGAGTTCGCGGGTGTTTAATCTATTTAAGATGCTCTGGTGGGCTTAGTCTGGGCTGGGGAAAATGGATTCTAGGTGCCACCCAACCCCTTCCCATCCCCTTGTGTGAAGGCTCTTCTTATATGCTTGGGGCTCTACCTGCCCTCCACCTAGTGCCTCTCCTTGGGAAGAGAATTGCGGGGGGCAAAGGTGGGGGACGCATGGATTTCTTTCTGCTCAGCTAACGGCATGTCCTTGTTTTCAGTTGAGAGGGAGATTGTACAGAAGAGGACTTTCACTCGATGGATAAATCTACACCTGGAGAAGGTAAGCAGGGTGTTGGGCTTTTGTTAAGGGGGAGATTCAGCCATGGCTGAGGGTCCAGGCCTGAGTGCAGAGGGACGTGGGCTCTGTGCTAGTTATGGCGGCTATTTTTTCATTTACTAAGATACCTGTTGGGTGTGTTCTCACTGCTGGGTGTCACACTGGAGCTGGGAACACCTGGGAAGCTGGAGGGAAGGCCAGGTTCTGTCATCGTGGGCTGTCTGTCCTGCTGGGGAAGAGAGGGTCTCTCTTTATAAAGGAAGCAATGAGCAAGTGATCAAGCACAATCATTATCGAACAGCCCAAACACTCCTGTGGGTAGGAGGTGGTTGACCTCAGGATTCAAACATGGCTGTGGGGGCTGGTGGCCATTGAGGATGTTGGGAGCTTGACTTCCAGTACCAGGTTCTCATTAAAAGCCCTTTGTGGGTGTTTGGATTGATTTTATGCAAGAATGCCCTCCACCTTCTCAGCCACCGTCTCCTGTTTATCACATAATGTCCCTATTGATCAGTAATGTCCTCTGTCCCCTTGATGCATCAGGCCCCCTGCTACAGTGACCACAGGTCCCCTTGAGCCCTCGTGAAAGCACCGCCCCTGCTGGATGTTGTTACCAGTGAGAGCCATCCCTCCTCGTGAGATAGGTTCGCCCACACGCAGGAAGGCAGCGGCGCTTCCTATGGCTTCCCCCACGAATTCAACTGCGTGGCCCTTCTTACGCCTCCTCTCCCTGACCTTGCCTAGCCAGGCAGTTTTGACTTGGATTTTGCCTGCAAGCCTCCCAGGCACATGCATCTTGAAACAACAGCTCCTGAGAAGCAGACACACTGAGGAGAGCCAGGGAGCAGGGATTTGCGTGGGTCAGCATCTTAGGTCCAGCAGGAATGCATGTCCTCGCACACCAGGCCATGAACTTGCTAAACCCCCGGGGCTGGGGGAGGAGAGGTTCTAAGACAGGTGATTTCTCCCGATTCCTTGGACTCACCTCATTTCTTTCTTCTTAAATTCCATTCTGCTCTCCAAATAGACCCGGCGGGGCGGGGCGGGGCGGGGGGGGGTCTCATTTCTTTTTAAAGCCTGTGCCATTCAGGCCTCTACCTAGCGAGTTAGGTACATGTCTTTCTTCTCTCCTCTCCTCTTCAAAGGTCCAAGAGTAACCACTGACAACCCTCCGCGTTAAACCCCAAGAAAGGCTCTTAGAGAAAATCATTAACTTGATTAGAAAGCAGAGAAAATAAATGTGGTTTGTTTATTCAGTGTGCCTGTGACTGAAATTCTAACTCGGGTAGTTTACTTTAGGCCTGTTGTGTCCCCCAGCAGGCTCTGACCACCCACACCTCTACTCCCCTCCTGTAGAATGGGCTACTCCGACCCAGGAGGCTCCTGAACTCGCCAGGAAAAGGCCGTGAGTCCGTGGGTCACGGACTAGGCGTCGTAAATCATTTGCCAGTTGCCTTGACTATTGGTACATTTTCGGCAATCCTCATAAAGTGGAATGTTATTTTTTGGGGAAAAAAGGAAAGCTGTTCCCCAAACCTGAGTTCCCTGAACTCCTAAATTAATACCTGATGTGTGTCAGCGTACCTGGAAATTCCTCCTGGCGGACGGAGTGTAGCCATGGCATATTGCTTTGCTTTGCTTTTTTTTTTTTTTTAATTAAAAAATAAATACAGAGAAGTACAGAGGGTAATATAGCAAATAGCACGCACTCACTCACCACCCCAAATGAAACTCTGCTGGCATTTATCATAGCGAGGACTTGCTCCCTGGCCACGCGGCTGCCCGCTTCTTGGAGCAGGTGGGCAGCGCCCACTCTGCAGATAAATCAGACGGCACCTGAAGCCGATGCCTAATAAACAGGCAAAATTAACAACCATGTTTCCAACCTGGAGACTCTCAAGAATAAGCTTTCATGTAAAGGAAGCCCAGGAACTCCCTTGAGAATTGAATTTAACTGCCATTTGAAGGCTGTCAGAAATATTTACTGAGTCTCTGGCTTCTGGAAAAAGTCCTTCATTTACCGGAGGAGTTAGATCATGAAGTGAGCCCTGGGGGTGCTATTGACTTGGCCATACCAATCTCATGAAGCCCTCAGAACGTTTGGGGCCCGGGGTGTTTGCCCTGGAGCGGGTTCAGCTTCTCCCCGCCTTCTCGCTGGATGGACTCCGGCCAAGGCCCCGCTCGCTGCGGCTCTTGCAGACACTGTCGATGGAAATGGTTCTCCAGGCGGAACTCCACAGGCAAGGCTGGGCCACTGTCAGGACCGATAACCTGGAAATTTTGCTAGTCCCTTCACCGAGGCGGGGAGGTTGTGTGTGGCTGGGGGAGCCGGAGTACCGTTTCACTGAGAGATTCCGGGACCCGACGCCAGCATGCTCGGGGGTGCGCGGTGGATGGGCCTGCAAAGAAAATCATTGGCCTTTTGGTTCAAGGTCATTGTGACCTTGAAGCCAAGCCCCCCTCTGTTCCCCTGTGGGTGCAGTCACCCTGTATTTGGACCAACTGGGGGTTGGGAGGCTCAAAGGGTAAGGAAATGCCACCTTCTGTAGGGTAAGGTAAAAAAGTATCAGGCTTTCCTGCCCTCCCACCATCAGGATCGATGATGGATCTGCGGTCCTGAATGCATGCCTGATGGCGGCACCTGGAGTAGGGTGTGGGCATGCACAAGTGGGTACACCTGGGCTAAAGCTGGGCTTATAAGGGCGAGGTCACGGGGACGCCAGCATACCAGAGAGCAGAAGAGAACGAAAGAGCAAAAGGAGCAGAGAAGAAAAGGCCACGAGAGAACACCAGAGAGCCCAGATAGAGTGAAAACTTACTGGGGCCTGGGAGGCCTGCCAGCACCCCTGCCTGCCAAGTACCTGGTAAATCCCAATAAAAGCCTGCAAAAGCCACTGAGGGCTCCAGGACTTCTTACCGGGTCTGCTGGGAGCATAGAGATCCTGCACTGTCCCTTCCTGCCACTACTACACCTTCCTTAATAAAAAAAAAGCCATCACCCTCAAGGACATCTCGACAGGAGGCCTTCCCAGAGGAAAAGGGTGTCTGGTCCACAGCGCCCCACGTTCCCAGGATTTTTCTTACCCCGGCTCACTGGCTGGTTAGAACTGCCACACCCCTTAATCCTATCTTGATGTGAACACCCCTTTTCATTGTGCTCAAGAACAGAGCATGCCCAGCAGTGTTTGTGCCAGTGCTGCAAAGGCACCGATACCCAAGGTGAGCAGAAGTCATGCTGGGACTGTCTTATTAAAATGCAGGTTTCTGGACCCTGTTCTCTGAGATTCTGCCACAGTAAGTCCCACCTATACTCACGAAAGAGTTGGCACCACCCTCGCTTAGTCAACAGAACCCCTTCTTCAAGCCTAGCCTTCCCTGGAACCCCAAGTAAAAGCCAGTCAGAGCCTCTGTGATGTGGGTCAGCCTCCTCTGCCCCCGTCCCAGACACAGCCTGCATCACTCTGCTGGCACCCAGGGTTCTGGGGAGCACCGTTTGCAAATCCCTGTGGTGGTGCATCTGCCCGACAAGTGAAGCTCCTGGTAGACCCCATGTCAGGACAGCACGGTGTCCAGTCACTAGGCTGGCCCTGGAGCCAAGGACACTTCGGTCCGAGCAGGTTAAGGGAAATGCCTGAGGTGGGCAGAGACACACAGGTGTGTCTGGCCCCTTTGCTTCCTAGGGGAACTGGTGCAAGTGGCGTCTTGAGATACCGTGATCTGTCTCAGCCTGGAGGGGAGCAGTGCAAGGAGGGACTTTCAGCTAATGAACTTTTCAGTCTGATTAATTACAATAAGCACATATCACATTTGTGGCTGAGCACATAATGTCTGTTCCTGTGCATCAGCCTCTCAAACTTGCATTCCTCACAGCCCCACACACTTGGGGCTGGAAGAACAGATTCCTTGCCTGCCATCCAGCCACCCAGCAGGCCAGCTGTGTCCCTCCAGCCCCCATATCCCCCCAGCCAAGCACACATCCACCTTCCTGCTTCCTCTACAAGGGCACCCCCCCCACCCCGCCAGACTAGGGCTGGATATTGACAGAGTGACCATGTGCACATCAGAGACTGAGCAGGACAGGAGGTGGGGGCACCACTGGCATCTGGACTGAAGGCCCTTGGCTCCCACCCAGGCATGTGCTGGGGCCTCGCAGACTGGGCTGCTGTGCTCAGCCAGTGGGTCATAGGACACGGACACGTCCTTCAGCTTCCTTGAGCCTCAGTTTCCCCAGGTCTGAGGTGAAGGGCTTGCATTAGGAAATTCCATGTGAGCCCAACTTCTAGAATTAGTTTTTTCTATACCGAGGCCATAGTCAAGACATGCCATTTCTTTCTTCCCTTGGAGAAACTTGGATGTGGTCTAATTTAGGGGTCTGAGGTCCTCAGGGTCACTTGTTCGTGCCTTGTTGGTGCTGCTGAATCTCCTCCAGGTGCCTATGGCCAGCACCACCTCCTGGAGGGCGGGCTGGCGCCTCCTTGCTTAGACAGACCTGGAGGTCCAGGTGTTTCACGTGAGTGAGGGCTGCGGTTCTGGAATCATTTTGTGGACCCCACGGTCACTAACCACTGGCCTTCTTTCCTCTGTGTCCACAGTGCAACCCGCCTCTGGAAGTGAAAGATCTGTTCGTCGATATCCAAGATGGCAAGATTCTGATGGCCTTGTTAGAAGTACTGTCTGGACGGGATCTGGTACGTATGTCACAGCAGAGTCAGGAGCAGTAAAATGCAAACCCAAGGCCTGCTGAGGGGCTCTTTTCTGTTCAAACCTATACATATGTTCATTAAACCCCACGAGAAGAAACTTTGGAAGGGTGACATTTTCCTCAACCATGGGGACAGGTTTAACCGGGTGTAACTGAGCAGTGCTTTTTTTTTTTTTTTTTAAGCAAATATACTCCAGTAAGTAAATAAAGGCCCAGTGTTTTCTGTGATTCTGTTTAGGCTAAAGATTGGAGCCAGACCATTAAAGTTAAGCTATCAGACATTATATTAACCAGAACAACGGCCTGGACGCGAGGTGGTGGATGAGAAAGGCATCCTATCCACCATGTTCCATTACCCACCTTGTGGCTAAAACTAGAACTGCTAGTTTCTAGAGCCTTCTTTTCAGTATGTCTGAGACTGCGTTGGATCAGCTGATCTCGAGGGTCCTTGCACTTTCTCTCTTAACCAAGCCCTGGATGTTGCAACATCTGCTGTGCCCTTGAGGAGCACGGGTCTGGCCCGATGCCAGCAGGTGGAGGCTGAGAAGCCTCGCTCTGCAGAGGGTCAAGTGTTTGATTTGCTCTGAGCGACCCACATGCTGAGACAACAGGGTCTCAGCAAAACAAACCATCCCTCAGCCAGTGTGGCCTCTCTGGGTCTGTTTTAACCAAAGGTTTAAAGTCAGGAGTCCCTACTTCTGCTCACAGATCTGATACAGCTGGAATCTTCTCACACCCCTAGACCCTTCCTGCCTTTGTTTTCCCGCTGGCAAAATGGGAGGCGGCCTTGGCCTCCCTCCAAGAGGGCTGCAGGGCCACAGGATGGGGCAGACTCCCGGCCTCAACACAGCGCTCCATTTCTCCACCCGGCTCACTGTGAGCCGGCAGCACGGTCCCTCGGGGCTCCCAAGACACCCCATTCCTGCCCTTTGTTCCGTGTCCCCAGCCGCATGGGTTCCCCACTTTGTCACAGGGCACTAGTCCATCGCTGCCTGGTCCCGGGGGCCTTATTGGGGGCTCTATTCTGAAGCCCAGCCAAGAACAGGCCTCCCCTTCCCAGTGAGCTTGGCCGGCAGCCAGGCCTGCTCGCGGCGTGAGCCCTGCGTCACCCAGAGGGCAGGGCGAGCGGCGGCGCGGGCCTTCCCCGCGGTGCTCCGGGTGTGGACAGCGCATGCCGCAGCCCCCGCGCCCGCACACGCCTCTCCCGTCTCTCCTTCCCGCCTCCTGCCCTCCTCTCTCTCGTGTCTCTGTCCACCTCTTTGCCTCTCTCTCCCCCTCTGCCCCGCTCGACCCTGTTTCTCTCTCCCTCTGTCTGTGTCTCCTTTTGTCTCCTTCTCCCGCTCTCTTCAATCGGTCTGGTCCTTCCTCTCCCTCTCTCCGTCTTCGCATCTCTGTCTCCCTCTGTCCCTCCGCCACCCTTCACCGCCCCCGGGGGCCACTGTCCACAAAGCTCTTGGCCAGAAACCAGAGTCCCTTCGCCCCGTGGAGCTGGCAGGGGACGTGGTGCTGCAGCCGATGCCGTCAGCACAGCAAGAGTGTGGTCCGGGGGTCTCCCGAGGAGGGGGGGCTGGTCAGAGAGAAATTTGAACAATTCGTCTCTTATTAACTCCCTGGGCTCCCCCCATTCACCCCAAGGGAGGTAAGTCCCAGGACCCCAGGGCACAGAGGCTGCGCTGCTTGTCCTGGGCCCCGGGGTGCGGGGTTGGGGTGCGCCTGGGCTCAGCCGTGGATGTGAAAAGCAGAGCAGGAGGGCCGCCCCTGGCGCCGCGGCCCGCGCTCCTGTCGCCTGACTTGGGTTTTGTTCTGTTTGTGCCGCAGCTGCACGAGTACAAATCCTCCTCCCATCGGATTTTTCGCTTGAACAACATAGCAAAAGCACTTAAGTTCTTGGAAGATAGCAATGTAAGTACTTGGCACGCGTGTTCACACGGCCTCGCCCACCACGAAAGGGACCACGTTTGAAATTTTGCGCTGGGCATGAGAGAAGCGTGGAACGGGGACTCTGCAAAATGGGCAGATTACATTTTTTTTTAAAGGTGTATTTATTTATGCATACAAGAGCCGGGGTACAGGTCAGAGGTGTGGGGGGTGAGAGGATTCATCAGAGACAGAGCAGGGAACAGAACAGGCAGACTGACCAAAGTACACTGCTGAGGGGAGCAGCGGGCGAGACAGGACAGGTCTGCCGCGCCATGTGGGTATCTCCCTGGCCGGCCAGGGATGGAACTCGTGCTGCAGAGGCTGCGGATTGCTTCACAGTGCGGTGCTTAACCCCTTGCGCCACCAGGGAGGCCCAAGGGCAAATTAAATTTAAACATAACAGAACTCAGAGCACTTAAGAGACTGGCTCTTGGGTCTTCAGGATCTATGTGGTGTTTCCCTCCTCATCCCTGTGAATTAGAGGACATGAGTATTTCAGCATGTGACCCCCTCCTGTGTGAGCCCAGAATATGGGGGAGTGAAGGGAAAGGGAGGTACAAGGAGCCAGGGAAAAAAATCACAAAATTCTCCCTCTTTGATGTACCCTTCTAGACTTAAAGTAGCTCTTCCTGTGTTTTCATGTCCTTCAAAAATGGGAGGGAGGGCCCCAGAGGAATGAAATTGGCAAAGCTCCCCTTCATGTTAGCTTCTCCAGCTAACATGTCTATCAGCCCCTGCACTTGCCTGATGCGTCGGCCTGCACAGGAAGCTGCACGTGACCCTCTTGGGGTTCTTCATGGCAAGCAACAGAAGCTGACCTCAGCTGATTTCACCAGGAAAGGAATTTGTTGAGAAAATATTGAGTAGCTCCCAGGATGAGCTGAAAGATGGTGAAGTCAGGGATGGGACCCAGGGGTGCTGGCACCAGGACCACTGCTGAACCTTCCAATCAGAACCTAGTGGGCACAGCCACAATTGTTCCACCACCCCGCCACCCAACTCCAGGAGGACACTGCTTACTGCTGCCCCTGGGATGAATTCTCAGTGTCACACACTCAGATTCAAAGGTCTAGGTTGCCCAGCCTAGACCCCACCATATCCCAGCTCCCAAGGGGCAGGAGGACTGCTTTGGGCTTTTGAAGAGTGAAGTGGGCTCTGTCTCCCAGGCTGTGGGGAAACCCACAGACAAGGGCAGGATTTCAGATCATGGCACAGCATAGATCACAGCAGCATTAGTCATAACAGCCGAAGGGTGGAAGCAACCAAGTGTCCGTCAGTGAGCAAATGGTTAAACAAAATATGTATTTGTGATGGAATATTACCCACCCATTAAAAAGATTGACAGCCTGCTGTAACATGGAAAGAAGCCAGAATTTTTATTTGGTGATTTCATTCTTATGGAATGTTCATGACAGGAAATCTCTAATCAGAATATGGGTTAATGATTGTTGTGGGGTGGGGGCTGAGCCCTTCCTGACACTGACATCTCCCAGCCTCGGCCCTCCTGCCCCAGGGGCTTGTGCTGTCTGCCTGGTGCTGTGGCTGCAGCCCTCAATATGGACTGGGCCAGGAAACTCCGGCACCCCACTTGCTTAAAAATGCCCAGGCCTGACTGACAGGTGTTGTGAGAACCCCTGACAAACTGATAGAATCAGAAACCATGTCAGGTTTTTTGAAAGCCCCAATGGAAGGGGAAAGGTGTAGGGGTGTAAGGACCTCTGGAGGTTTTCTTTCCCCAGTCTCCTGGCAGAATTGTGCAGGGTGGAGTTGAAATTTACCTTGACTGACTTCCTTTCTCCTCTCTTCCCTGGGAAGAATGGTTTTTCCATTTGTAAAAGGCTGTAAAGAAGAGACAGACAAGGCCTGCTGAGCCTTAAGTAGTTAACTCCTCACTGGCCCTTTCCAGAACAAGTCTGCAGACCCCTCAGCTAAGAGCTTCAGTTGTTTGCAGAATGAAAGGGTGACTCAGCAGCTGTCCTCAGACCCTGGGGTGCAGCAGCATCGCCTAGAGCTCTGGTTAAAAGGCACACTTCAGTCCCCTGTGCTCCTCCCTACCCCCTCTGATGCCTCTCCTGCCTCCTCCCCTGCAGTATTGGTGAAGGAAACTCTATGGGACTACACCTGAGGGGGTGGGGCGAAGCAGATATTGTTTAAAGATGAACAATGGTGTAAAAAATAAATAAAAGTAAAAAAAAGTTTAAAAAAAAACAAAACACCACATACTTGTCAGGCCCCACTCCCTGCACTTCTGGGAGAGAACTTGCCTTTCCAGCAGACTCCGGGTGATGTTGATGAGCCTGTCTCTGTGGTCAGAACTCAGTTAAGCAAATACACAGTCTCCTGAGGGTTTCTGCAGTGGCACATTTTAACCAATCAGTGAGATATTTTGTGATGATTCAGGAACTGGGCGTCAGCCTCATCCCAACACTAATTCTAATCAGCAACGGCTGAGCGTTCCACAGTCGCCCCCGCCAGCGGTCTGTGTCGGTCCCCGGCCATTTTCTAGCCGGGGGTTGGGGGTTCGGCGGTGTTAGCCTCATGTGCCGGCAGGCCCCGGGACACTTACCATCTCTCCTGGGGAGAGAATGACCATGTCCATACTAGCTCTGCGGCACATTATTTTTGACCTTTCTGAAATGTCCTCGCCTAAAATGTAGGCACAGCAGAAGCAAACGTTGTGCGGAGGAACTGAGTTACTTTAGAGGAGCTTGGAATAGAGGCCGGGTGGGAAGTGCTGTGTAAGTGCTCATTAAACACGCTTGTCTGTACGCTTGCGGCCCAGGCTCCTTGGGAGTTGGCCTTGGGCAACTCTGACCAGCACGCGTGAGAAAGAACCATGCACCAGGACATAGCATATCTCATGAGCCCCGCTGAACCGGGAAACTGCTTCTCCGCAGGTAAAACTGGTCAGCATCGACGCGGCAGAAATAGCGGACGGCAACCCCTCCTTGGTTCTGGGCCTGATATGGAACGTCATCCTCTTCTTCCAGGTAAAGTGGTCCCCTCTCCACGACATGGTCCCGGCCTTCTGAGTCTGCTTAGTGTCCGCAGAACAGAAGGGACCAGATCGAGGGAGACAGGGAGGTCTTGTGTCTGACAGATTTTGACCTTTCTTGTTTTCTAAAAAAGAGCTGGAGGAGTCTGGTTGGTGGAGATTTTGAATCTCTGTCATCCTTTAAAAGGCATGAACTCTGCTCTCTGGAAGAGCTCCCTGTCCTCTGAGGACTTGAAAAGTTAAATGTTTACTTGGAAAAATAATTGTGTTCTGGAGTGTTGCAGGAACTGGGAAATACTCCCAACCCAAATTGAACTCAGTAGAGTCCCTTCCGGAAAATGCCTGAGGTGTTCAGCAGGGCCGTGAAGGAGCCTGTGGGGGAGAGAGAGTCAGGAGGAGGCACAGGGGCAGCTCCCTTCTCCTTCCACAGCAGCTTTGTTTTCTGTTTGGCCGAGCAGACTTTTTTTTTTTTAAGTTTATAATTTTATTTATGTATTTGCGTAGAAGAACTGGGGTACAGGCCAGAGGTGCAGGGGTGAGAGGACTCATAAGAGACAGAGTGGGGAGCAGAACAAGTGGATCCACTGAAACACTGCTGAGGGGAGCAGCGGGGAGACAGGAGAGGTCTGCTGCGCTCTGTGGGTTGCTCTCGGGCCAGGGATGGAACTCAGTTCATAGTGGTGACAGTGCTGAGACTGAACCGCTCAGCCACCAAGGGGCCCTGGAAATGCAGATGTTCTAGAAGAAGGCTGGGATCTGTGGCTGGAGTAAGAAAAGTGGCATTTGAAATCATGCCCAAGTACAATTCCTTGAGATAGGAGCGAGCTGACATTTTATCTTCTGAATTAGAGATTCATGGCTTATTTTGCTCCAAGAGTACAGTTGATCTGCTCTGGGGTGATGTGGTGGGGCTGTTGGCTCAATGCTTGTGTTTTAGAGAGAAACAAGACAAAAATCTGGGGATAAGAGATCCAGTTCTGTGTGAACCTTGAACTTAAAAAATCAAAAGTTCTCACTGAGCCTTGGTTTCCAGGTCTGTGAAATGGGAGCTGTGGCTCTAATTGTAGCAAGCACTGAGACACTGTGTGTGGTGTCTTTGTCAACCATACCATGTTAGATACCAGACTCAGTTACTGATCTTTGTTATTAAACTCCCCGATCGATGCTGGAAGCATCCTAAAAATGTGTTGACAGTCAAGGTATTAAATCCACTACAGATCTTCATTCATTCAGTAAATGTCTGTTGAATTTCTTTTGTGTGCCAAACTTGGCACGTGCAAGAGTCCTGCCCTCACAACTCTCCAGATCACAGACAAGTCAGTCCCACATTATAAAGCTTTGTGGTATAGGCTGTGATCAAGGTCTGAACAGGGTGATAGAAGAGCACCAAGTTGGGGCAACTCCTGTGGATGGGAAGGGGGGCAGTCAGGAAAGCTTCCTAGAGGGACTGACACCAGGCCTGGGTTTTGAAGGATGAATAGGAGTGCGTTAGGCCAGTCCTGTTCACCTAGGGGTGGTGTTGAAATGCAGATTCTGACTCTAAAGGTACAGAACAGGGCCTGGGGTCCTGCATTTCTCACAGGCACTCCATGAGAAGAGCCACATTTTGAGCAGCTAGGAATTCAGTGATGGAGGGAAAGACCCTCTGGCAGGACCAGAGGCAGTGGGATCTGAAGCTGCATACTCTGTTTCAGGAGAGGAAAGGGATTGGTGGTGTTAGGTCAGGAAGACCTATATGGGGTGCCTGGCCAGAGCAAGAGAGATGCCAGGAAGAGATGGCCTTGCCTGTGAGGGGTCATTTCCTGCACTACTAGCCACATGAAATGGCCATTGCATCCACACAGGTTCTGCCCTGCTCCTTGACACCCTGGCCATTGGGAAGAGGTGTCTCCTTGCCTGGAGAACCAATTCTGCATGAGCTGGTTCTTCCGGGTATGGTCTACGTACCCATGGGTCCCATGAACATGGGCACTGGGGTCTGAAATGCAGTTTTCCTTCCAGATTAAGGAGCTCACAGGCAACCTCAGCAGAAACTCTCCATCTTCCAGCCTGTCACCCAGCTTGGGGGCCACAGACTCAGACTCCTCCTTCCCACCCACACCCACCACAGAGAGGAGCTCGGCCATCTCGGTGAAGGACCAGCGGAAGGCCATCAGGCTCCTGTTGGCATGGGTGCAGAGGAAAACCAGGAAGTAAGCCACCTCCCGGGTCTCCCACCACCCCAGGCAGTTTTCAGGCAGAGGGAGGGGTCCCCCGTCCCTGGGGTGGGCAAAGGATAGGGATGTTAAAGTTTATTAATTGCCAGTTCTATGGCTGTCACTTCATGGAGCCTCTCAGAGCAGGGAACACCATTGTCAGTTTCTGCACACACGCAACTGTTTGCAGAATGTTTGGTTTGCAAAAAGCAGATGAGAGGATTTGAATACAAATCAGAAGGGCTTTCTCCATGTTAAATCCCAAAGCGGGGTTGTCTCTTGGATGCTGAGAGCATGTATGTCCGTTTTACTAAACTTCAGGGTATCTTTTCATGTGCCAACTTAAAAAAAGAAGATGATAAAGGCTGGAACTTGTCAGCGTTCAGTCTGGCCTCCCCCGCAGCAGGACAGGAGAACTGGAGCAAAACTCCCAGTCCCTGTGTGGCCAGCAGTTCTGAATCCAGTCCTGTCTAGTAGCTTCCGAAAGCCCCTGGGTCATCGTGGGCAGGGAGGGGCGGAAAGCTGGGCCAGCTACCAGCTCACGGCCGGGGGCTAGGGTGATGGTCAAGGAGAGGAGGTGACTGTGGGGATGCAGCGGCTCTCTCCCCACGGCAGTGGTGGCTACAGGAATCTGGCCATGAGAGGGAGCCTTTCACCCCCGGGAAAGTGAAGTTGCAGAAATTCACATAAAAGGGCTGAGGCTCGACATCCTGTACCAGCGTCAGCACCTGGTTGTGAGAACACCCTCTGCTAACGTAATGCTGCAAGGGATGCCGCTTTTGTGATTTCTTAGGAATCTTAAAGATTTCTAAAATAAAAATATTTGGGTTTCATTTTTTTAAAGAGAGCTCTGTGACCACAATGAGCAGTGGGGATGGATGCTAAAGGAAATAAGTACTCTTTAAGGTTATGATTTACTTGTATTAATAATGGTATCATTGGCCACTTTAGTGGCTTCCGTGTGCTCCCATCCACGCACGTGTGCCCATGTCCCGGCCGTTCATGTGGGTTCCGCCTCCTACTCCCCACACCAGCCCCCCAGAGGTCACAGCAGTCAATCCTTATTTTGTGAATGAGGAGTTGAGGCTTGGTGGCACCTGATTTGCCCAAGGCTGGAGTGTGAACTCGGACTTCCGAGTGGAATGGCGTAGCCCCTCTGTGGCTGGGTTTTGAGCACGCCTGATATGATGAACAGTGCACAAAAACGCTCCTCTAGAGAGCTGGGTATTTGCCAACACAAGGCCCTGTTTTGCTCTGTTGTGTGTCACCTTCACCTTGTCTCGGGAAGTGGAGCTGGCGGTGGTTCCTGTCAGGTCAAGATGCACTGTGTCTGGGGCTCTGCATGTTGCTAGGTCCACAGGCCCAGATCCTCTGGGGCCGGCGAGGCCGGGCCAGCCTCCTTGCCCTGGTCTGGTGACGCACCTGCTGTCCTTCAGGTATGGTGTGGCAGTGCAGGACTTTGCGGGCAGCTGGAGAAGCGGGCTGGCCTTCCTGGCGGTGATCAAGGCCATCGACCCCAGCCTGGTGGACATGAAGCAGGCCCTGGAGGAGTCCATGCGGGTAAATCTCGAGAAGGCTTTCAGCATCGCCCACGACGCCCTTCACATCCCCAGGCTGCTGGAGCCGGAAGGTAGTGTGCTCTCTCTGCTTCCCTGCTTTTAATAATTGTTACGACAAATAACACATGGTCCATATAGAAAACTTGGAAACTACAGAAAAATCTTTTGAAGACCCCTATGTTCCCTCCACTAAGGTATATTTCTCTATGCACCAAATTCTAATTTGTTTTTGCATAACTGGGACCATTTTGTATCTCACTTTGTTTTCTACTTAACCTTATAATTGTGGCACAAGTATTGTGCTGGCTGCATCAGGTCTTAGTTGTACCTTGTTTGGATGCCCGATAGGCCAGCTCCTGGGACACCAACATTTACTTAGCTCGTCCCCCAGTGCTGTTGGGGGGCTTCAGGTCGCCTGTGTAACTGCCGTGGCCATCCCACTGAAGGCAGAGGGAGGGGGACAGCACGCTCCTTTCCGAGGCACGTGGCCCTTTCCGTCCAATTGCCTTCTGGGTGTCTTAGGCTCACTCAGGACCCCCTCCGGCTACGAGTGAGGGGCGAGGCCCCCCAGACTCACTGATGGAGTGGCCGTGAGCTGGAGGGGTGCAGCCAGTTGGGCACAGTGGGCAGAATCTTGGGAATAAGTAGCCCTGATCCTCCCCACTCCTGTGACATTTCAAAGGATCCACCCTCTCTGGGTCGTGATTTCCTGGTGTAAGTAAAGAGGAAAAACCCTCGGTCCTTTGCCCTCCAGAATCCCTTGATTCATTTAAAAATGGCTTGTGTCTTTGTCTTCTGACCCCTGCGTCTCTCCTGCAGACATCATGGTCGACACCCCTGACGAGCAGTCCATCGTGACTTACGTGGCCCAGTTTCTAGAACGTTTCCCGGAATTGGAAGCCGTATGTTTGTTTTCCTTACCTTTAATCAGAAACTACATTTCCCGCAGCTGGTATCAGATGGAGCTGGGCTCAGCCTGCTGTCTTGGACTGAGGGGCCATAGTCAAAAGCTGATATCACGTCCCCTGAGCGTGGCCTGGCCATGTTTTAATTCCCAAAGCATGTGTGATGAGTATCACATTGGAAACAGGATGGGAAGCTACACCCCACACCTCTTTCCTACCAGACTATGCCAAGATTATATAAGGTGCTTGCATGTGATGTGGATCAGCTGCTTGTTTTTTTGAGATGTCCCTGGGGCTTTTTAACAATCTTCTAGACTCTGTGTTTAAAGTGATATAAGACAGCAGCCATTCCAAAGCCCACCTTTTTATTTGCAGAATCCCATATTGTACATAGTGGCATTTTTGGGGGGAGCAGACATAGACGATTTCAGAGATGTCTTGGCTCTGTTGACCTTCTATCTAACCCAGGCACAGTCCTGAGGTGACTATAGGGTGACTGCAAGGGCCACAGCTCTTCATTCACTCACTGGTGGTTCCCTGAGCACCCCCAGCTGGCTCAGGCAGATGCAGCCAGGAGCGAGATGATGTGGTGCATTTGCTCCAGTACAGAAAACAGCTAACAACTCAGCAAATCCATTAGAATTTCAGGGAGTTACAAGTACTAGCTGGAAAAGAGAAAGCAGGGAGAGCTAACGGTCATAGGAGAGGGGCTGCAGGCAGTGGTCCCATGTCTTTCTGGACTGACCACAGTGCCTGGTTCAGAGCATCAACCTCATCTTCGAGATGAGAACTCATATGTACGTACCAAGAGGCAACCCCTCCAGGTCACACAGTTCTTGAGTCAAGCTGGGATATGACCCTGGGTCCCCATGGTGCCAAAGTCCAGGCTCTTAGATCTCTTACAACCTGTGTTTGAAACAGCAGCCCCCATTTTGTATGCCCAGGAGTCAGAGCCCTACCATACCACAGTATGGTGCACATCTCTTCTCAGGGCAGCAGGAAATTGGGCAAAGGGAATTTGCCAGCCTCCGTGGGCTGGAATGCCATTGCTACCACTTGAGGCTATGTGACCCCAGGCAGATGACTTCACCTCTCTGATACATGTCTGTATCGGATGGCATCTGTTAGTAGAAATATTGCCCACATTTCAGAATTGAGTGCCCAGTTTTGTGCCTGGCACAACAGCTAATGTTCTGCAAATGAAAGCGATGGTGATTTTGTTAATTTTTTTTTTCTGACTTATTGCTAAGTTCTGCAACACCGGGCACCAAGGGCTTGTAGTAGTCCTGAGCACTTAAGCTGGAAGCAGAGCCTGAATCAACTAAAACATAAAGTTTTTCTTTGAGCCAAGGCCACAGCCAAGATTCAGCAGATCTGACACTTAGATCTCCCCATTGCTAGGGTGAAGGCCCCATGCTGGCTGGGGCAGGAGAGTTTGAGGAAAATGTGTGTGAAGAAAGTCTTACTGATTCACACAGGGCGTGCCTGAAGAACAATCACCTTGGTGCCCAAGGAAATACAGATTTGAAGTTCGGGCTCACCTAGACCCCCTGTTGACCAGTTCCTTAACAATTAAACTGCATTCAGTTCATGTCAATCAATCTTCATGAAGCCTCAGCCATCCCTGTACCAGACCCTGCATAGAGCTTTATGGCCCAGTATATGGCTTGTTTTAGGAAAGGCCTTGGATACACTTGAAGAAGATCTGTCTAATGTTGTGAAAGAATGCACATTCTTCAGGTATCAATTTGGCTGAGTTGCTTAATATGTTGTTCTAAAATCTTCTACACACATATATTTTTTAAGATTTTATTTATTTTTGTATAGAAGAACTGGGGTACAGGCCAGAGGTGCAGAGGGGTGAGAGTATTCACCAGAAAAACAGAGTGGGAGCACAACAGACGGATCTACGGAAATCCACTGCTGAGGGGAGCAACTGGCGAGACAGGAGAGGTCTGCTGCGCCATGTGGGTCGGCTCCCTGGCCGGGGATCGAACTCAGGCTGTCACAGGGGGGCCCTTGCAGTGGTCGTGCTGAGACTTAACCTCGAGGCCGCCAGGGAAGCCCTATTCTCTACACATATTAACTTTGTTCTGCTCTTTCAATTAGTATCAGAGAGCAATGTTAAAAAACTCCAACAGTGATTATAGATTTATTTTTCTTTGTTCCTTCAGTTACTGCTTTTTGTAAGTGGAAGCTCTGCTGTTTGGCGCATATGCATTCAGGATTGCTGTAGCTTCCTCATGACTGGATTGTTTTGTTTTTATGCAGTTTCCTCTTTGTCTTGAAGTGAGCTTGGTCTGGTTGGAATATAGCCACACTGGTTTTCTTCTGGTTAGTGTTTGCATGGCATACCTTTCTCTATCTTTTTCCATTGACTGTATATACATAAATATTTTTAGCATATCTTTTGTAAACAGCATACAACAAGGTTTTTTGGTCCATTCTGACAAGATTGAGTGCATCACTCAATTAGTGGGTTTTCATCAGTTTATGTAGGTTTAATCTACCACCTTAACTATTGTTCCCATTGTTCCTCCCTGTGTACCTTCTTCCTCTCTTAGTTTTTTTTTTTTTTTCATTATTCATTTACTTTTTGGTTTCTATTTTATTCCCACCTTGGCTTTCAGCCACATCAGCTTGTTTTGTCAATTTATTACATTTCCTAGGGATTATGATACCTTGAACATACCTCAGTCTACCTCGAATACTGTTATACCTTTGTAAGTCAAATCATCTCTTACATATTTTTGTATCTGCAACAATTTAATTCCAGTCATTTATCCATTCTTTTGTGCTCTTATTGTCATTCACTTCACTCCTACATATGTTTTAATACCCAATATTTTTGTTATTATTTCTGCTGTAAGCAGTCAAGAGGCTTTTTAAGAATTTTTTTCTAAGACTTTTATAGCGACCATAAATTTATCATTTCAGGTCCTTTTCATTTCCCTCCTTCAGATCTAGGCTTCGATTTATGATCATGTCCCTTGAGTTTGAAGAACTACCTTGGTATTTCTTGTAGAGTAGGTTAAATAGATAAGTGAGCATCCTTATTTGCTAGTTCTAACCTTGGGTCATATTTGGGTCTACTTCTAAATACTGTTGTCTCTCTTGATTCTGAGACGCATGAGTCTCAGAATGCTTCTTTATGTCTTGACATTTTTTATTTTATGCCAGAACTGGTGTATTTAAGTAGAGGTTGACTTAGATCACATTTTTTTCCTTCAGAGAATGTAGCTCTTACCCAAACAAGGACTTGTGATACATTCTGACCTTCTCATAGTTGATAAAAAAAAGCTATATTACAGTTTTATTTCACTTAAGCTTTCTGATTTCAAATGATTTTAGCCTAAGTTTAAATCCATTTCCTCCAATGGGACATTGGGGGCCAAGCACTACAATACCATCAAGATTGCTCTGTGCTTCTCAGCCCTACTCACAACTGCTTCATATTTAGCGAAAGTCCCTGTTTGGGGAATGAGTATATAAGGAGAGTTGGTTTTGCATTAGGGACCCTTCCAGATTCAGTCTCACACAAGCCCAGCAATCAGTAAAGACTTGGCTGACCGTTTGTTATCTCAGGTGGGCTGGCTTCCCCAATGTGCATATCCAGACTAGGCATTGGCCCTCCGGTAGCAGGAGCTGGCAATATCTGCTCACTTTGGAAAGACTTATCCTTCTTTAGAATTTAGGTCATAGAGGTTTCTTTCCATCCCTAGACTTAAAAAATAGTGTTCTTAATTCATCTGGTATTTTCACAGTTCAGCAGAAACAATAGTATTTTGCAGACTTCTACAGCTTAAAACACTTTGCAGCAGTTCTGATGTGTCTTTTTCTTCTTTTTTAAAGATTTATTTAATTATACATATAAGTACTGGGGTACAGGCCAGAGGTGTGGGGGGTGGTGAGAGGATTCACCAGAGACAGAGTGGGGAGCAGAACAGGCAGACTGACTGAAGTACACTGCTGAGGGGAGCAGCGGGTGAGTCAGGAGAGGTCTGCTGCACCATATGGGTTGCTCCCTGGCTGGGGATTAAACTTGTGCTGCAGTGCCTATGGACAGCTTCATAGGTTGCGTCTTAACCCCTTGCACCACTAGGAGGCCCTCTGATGTGCCTTTTTCTACCATAGTTTTTGTTTTTTTAGAAAGGAATATACATTGTACTTACACGCTCTTCTGATATCATCTTGCCCTCTATTTCTTGACAGGAGGATTTTGTGGATTCAGAGAAAGAAGCCCCTATTGAATCCACCTTTGTCCGCATCAAAGAATCCCCTTCTGAACAGGAGAGCAAAGTCTTCCTTCTGTCCGAAAATGGGGAGCGTTCCTATACAGTTAACCATGAGACTAGCCACCCACCACCATCCAAGGTCTTTGTCCCTGACCAGCCGGAGAGCACTGAGGAGCCTGAGAAAAGCCTCTTGAGTGACGTGTCCTGCCACACAGAGCCAGACAGCACCTCTGAGTTCATGCACCAGATCATCGACGAGGTCTTCCAGGGGATCTCAGCAAACATCAGTGAGCCATCTCCAGAATCTTCCATTCTGTCATCCAAAAAGGATAATCGGAGGGCCAACTCCTTGCCAATCAAGAAAACTGTGCATTTCGAGGCTGACACCTACAAGGATGCCTCCTGTAGCAAGGACCCTGTCTACAGACAAAACCTTCATTCTGAAGAGGGTACCCAAGGGGCACAGTTGTTGCTGAAGCAGGATGGACAGGTCCCAGCAGCGGAAGTTGCTGAGGACAAGCCAGTAGAGGAAGCCCCAAGGATCCTGGAAGCAGCCGCGGATGACCTCGCTTGGGTGGATGGGAATATGGATCATTCTCAGACTTCCCAGACTAGTCCCTCCTGGAACAGGGCGCTGGAGAGTGCAGCTGGCCCCAGGGAAGATGGGCCTCCCCTGCCACCCCCTGGGGAAAATAGTCTTCTGGCCGATTCCCTGGAGATCAAGGTTAAGCTGCTGACTGTCCAAGCTTTAGGAAGAGAAGACTATTTTGAAGAAGTGCCTCTAAAAGCCTCTAAATTTAACAGTGACCTCATCGATTTTGCCTCCACCAGCCACCAGCAGACTTTCAACAAGTCCCCTCCTCCTCCTGAGAGAAAACCGGTCGAGGAAGAGGCCTTGGAGGAGAATCATGCTGAGAAATTGGGTAAAAGGAAGAGCAAATCTGCCCACAAAAAGCAGGATTCAGAGGAGCCCCAGGACAAGTCTGTCCAGGATGACCCTGACCAGGACCCTGGCCCGGAAGCCCTCGGCTCTCCTTGGGCCCCAGAGGAGGCCCCGGGGGCTAAGAAGGCCAAGGTGTGTGAGAAGGCCAAGCACAAGTCCCCCTGGCACCGGCGAGGCGAGGAACATGGGGCGGCGGGGGCTCCAAAGCGGCTTGAGGGGGAATTGCCTTTCAACTCGCCCAGCAGCGACATCAGCTTGGATACTCTGGGGAGCCCCAGCGAAGAATGCCTGGACTTCAGGCCTTCCCCGCCGCTTTCCAGGGTCTCGGTCATTCCCCATGACCTCTTCTACTACCCGCACTACGAGGTGCCCCTCTCTGCGGTGCTGGAGGCCTATGCAGAAGGGGTGGAGGATTTGAAAAATGAAGAAATGGACCTGGAGGAGCCAGAGGGCTACCTGCACGGGCTGGGAGCCGAGGATGCCGAGGAGGCCAGGGAGGCTGAGGAGGCTGAGGAGACCGAGGCCGAGGCTGCCCAGAGCACTGTCAGCTTCCTGGGGCCGGGCAAGGACCTCCCCCAGGACAGCGACCAGGCCCCCCATCTCGACTGGAGTGCAGAAGGTGCCCAGCCAGCCTCTGAACCCGGCCCCCCACCTCCCCAAGAGACCCAGCAGCAAAGGGAGGTCGAGGAGGGTGCTCCTGCCGAGAGCAATCAGGTACTTGATTTGGGGGTTTGGGAATCCCAGGCCCTACCTGGGGAATTCTGCCCTGCTCTGAAGCCCAGCACGATCCCTCACAGGCATCCCAGGGCTGGAATTTAAGGACACTGTCCCTCTGCCTTGGAAAAGTGGGGTGCTGGCACCCCCAAGAGTGGGTCCTCCCTAAATTTTGCAGCCTGGGCACCTCACTGGCCTTCGCCGAGCCTGGCCCTGCCTATAGGGTGCCAAGAGGGTCAGGATGGAGTGTCCTGCAGGGTCATCCTTGTACACAGCGGGCACAGCGACACCAGCCTGTAGGCAGCGAATGTTGCCCCGCCTCCGGCAGGAGGTAGAGAAAACTAAGGCAAGACCTCACCTTTGCCTCTGACCTTGACTTTTAAGGATGTTTTGTTTGTTTGGCATAAATACTCGGCTATAGTGTCTTCAGGGGCACGGGTGAGCAGGGCAGGGGGAGGGGCGGGCAGCACTACAGTTTGGTGTTGCTATTTGACCTGGGCCAGCACTGGAGAGGGCCTGACAGATGAGCATTGGAAGGATGTGGGGTGCCTGGCCTTGGGCACAGTAGGGCAGGGGTCCTGCTGCAGGCCCCCCTGTTAATCAGAGCTTCACTAGTCCGCGAGTGGAGCAAGAGCTGTCCTGAGTGCAGTAGAGCAGAGCTTTAGGTTGTTGGCGTCTCTGCGCTGTGTCTCTTGCTGATCATCTGGGCCTGTGGGGGTCTCCTGGGCTACCTAGACCCACTGAGTTTGTGGGGTTCTCCTAGGCTACTGAGTTTGTGGGGTTGCCCACATTACCTGGTCCACCTTCCCGAAACTAGCACTGAATTATCATGTTGGTGTCTGAACTCTCCAGTCAGACTGATCAATGGACCCAGGGCTTAGGTTTGGGGGGTCAGAAGAAGGGAACCCTCCTGGTTCCAGTCAGTGTTTCTCAATTAGACTGTATAGTGGACCGAGGGGCTTGGGGCACCCCATGCCTGACCGACTGCCTCTACCAGTTCCCTCGCTTCCTCCTGCAGAATGATGCCTCCTGCAGCCTTTCTCCCTCAACAGCCCTCCTGTAAAAAAAAAAAAAAAAAAAGAAGGGGTGGAGGTTGGGGAAGGATTGTCTTTCACAGTGAATAGAAATGACGAGTTTTTCTTCTTCTAGTCAAAAAAACAAAAGTCCTCTCCCGCTGCCACAGACCAGCTCAGCGGTGGCGGGAGATCGAGACAGTCTCAGGGTTGAGTGAGAACGAGCAAAAGGTGGTCGAAGGAATTAGGGCAGGGGACAAGAAAGAATGACACACAGACACACTCAAGGGAGAGTGAAAATCTGAGTGTCATTTGCTCAAATCATTACGCATATTTATACATTTTCAAAAGGCATTAGGTCACACAAAATCTATTTTCCCAGCATAACAATGTTTCTTGTTACCTAGGCATAGAATACAATTTTCTAGCTAATGGTTTACAAGTTGCTAAGCATATGTGGTTACATTTCCTGAAACTGATTTTTACATATATAGAAAAAGTCAGGTAAGAAAATTAATTATGGACAAGTTGCTAAGTTACTACTTATTCAGAAACAATGATTAACTGGTTAATGGTTAAACTGCTTTGTAGGTAATTCCATCAGGCTTGTTTGTAGGCAACGCTCTCAGCAGCCTTGTTTTCAAGCAAAGGAGGGGTTTTTTACTGCAGGCTTATTGCCTAGATTGGGCTTATAGGCTTGTAGGCCTTGTTTGATCTGAACGCCAAAGTTTATTATGATGAAGCCCCTCGGGGACTGCGTCTGTCTTAGGTCGTCAGGAGTCACAGACATGAGGCTGGCCAGTGCCTTCTTTAGTCTGCCCCCAATCTTACCCGTCATTGACTGTCCAGTCCAGCGCACAGGGGAAGGGGGTCTTACGTACTCTATTTGTGAGCATCCACAGTACAGCCACTCTTTATTTCATCCAATTACTGGCGAGCAATGGTGGCAACAGTGGCATTGCCAACCATGGAGGCAGGAGCTGCCACACTCCCACTGCACCTTTCAGAAGAGGTCACATCTGTCCGTTGCTGACAGAGGCGAAACGGATGTTCCCAATTGCTGAGTGGTTTTCATTTCTTTGTCCCCTGAATCCCACTGGCCACTCTAATCCCCTTGTTCTGATACCTGCTGAGCAGGTCCCCCAGCCCCTGCAGGGGTGTGGAGAGGAGCTGACTCCAGCCATCTCCGCGCTTCTCCATTTCCTCTGGTTCCCACGGGCGCGTGGCTGGTAGATCTCAGCCTGCCCGTGCAGACAGGGTCCCAGGGCCCTTCTCAAGGCCCTGCAAGGGCTGTTGCACTGTGCTCTCTCTTCAGCCAGAGGCACAGAACAAAGTCAGCCACACCTTAGCGTGTGCCTGCGTGTGCCTCCCCAGACTCGGGCCCCCCATGCATCCCATGACCCACTTGGCTCCCGGGATCCATCCCTTGGGGGAGTGTGTAAAGGTCCTTCTCTGGGGACATCCTTCCCAGGATGTGCTGGGAAGACGGTGACGCTCATTGTGCCCATTTGACAGACAAGGAGACTGAGGCTCAGAGGGAGAGTCAGCTGCTCCAGGTCACTCAGCTGCCTCCCCCACCCCCCGAGTTCTCAGTGACTGTAAACCCTGCTGAGTTCATGCCCTCCCTCTGCAGCACTGACCTCTGTCTCAGAGGAGGTGGGAGGTGGGGTGGGCTGTGCCAGGAAGGAGCCAAGATCAGGTCTGGCAGGAGGGGGTGCGGTGGCGTCTTCTCTCCATCTTGACTTTTCTCGCCCTGAAGTTCCAGGAACCCACCAACTCAGAAAACTTAGCAAACCCCTTAGAAGAAAATGTAATGGAAAAGTCGATGAGCAGTAAAAAGAAGGAGAAAAGGAAACACATGGACCACGTAGAAAGCTCAGTCTTTATAGCGCCTGGAGCTGTCCGCTCCTCCGATGACCTCGAGGAAGACACCGGCGACCACAAAGTCCCTTCCAGGTATTTTGTTGCTGTCTCTCCCCAGACGGAGCTTGAGAGCGACCCTCTGGACTCCTTCCGCGTTCAGTTTCTGATGGGATGGGGCAGGCAGGTGTGGGCCGGCCCGCCAGGGAAACGCAGCTTCGTACCAAATCCTCACTCCGTGCCAGGCCCCTGCATCCCCGTCTCCTCCCTGCACTGGCACCAGACCTGCTCCGAAGCAGCAAACCAGAAAACCCAAAGCTGCCCTCTGCCCTCACGCCCAGTACCTCCGCGAGGAAACTGGCCCTTAACAGTGAAATAAATGGCTGAGCTGGGGAGGGGTGGGGCGTGGACGGGCGACGCCTGCAAGAAGCTGCCAGCTGCCCCGGCCCTGTGGTGGGCCATAGGGCCAGGGAGCTCGCAAATGCTCCAGAGCATCTCACGGGTCAGCCTGCGCCCGAGGCCCTGCCTTCCCGGCCACCAGGAAGCTGGACATTAGTATTAAGGCTTCACTTTGGCTCCAGGGAAGTGTGAGGGAGGCTCGCTTATCTCAGGGGAAGAGACAGGGAGGATAATGAGCTTTAAGTGGCCTGCAGGTGGCTTGTGGCTCACATCTGCTCTGTCATCCCAAGGCCGCAGATGAGGCAGATCCGTCCCAGGGAAATATTTAACTGCTGAACGTCTGAAGACCCTGGCTCTCCCCATGATCATCCATCATCACGATGGTCACCGTTTACCAAGCTCAATGTGTCAGGCATTGCGCCCATATTCCCCCGTTAGTTCCCAGGACACTCCTACGGGCAAGTCGGTGGGATTGTGCCTCATTGTGGGGGGCAAGGAAGGAAGGGCAGGGGGTACACCCCGCTTAGGAGATGGCAGAGGGGTCTGGGACTCAGACGTGTCAGAATCCACAGGCCATGTTTTCTGTGACCCCACTTTGCCTATGGTGGGGGAGCTGTGCTGGCTGCCTGCAAGGGGGGGGCGGGGCGGGTATCGGGATCTGCATTTGGGGAGTGAGCAGAAGCCCAGAGAGGGAGAGCCAGAAAAGGAACTGGCAGATGCCCTGTTTCCACCCCCCTCCGCCTTGCTTCCCTGCCTGCGCTCTGGGGACAGGGGGAATACTGGGCAGGGGTGCCATGAAAGACTGCTGCCCACTTAGGCCCAGGGCTCCCAGAGTCCCTCTCTCCAGCAGCTGTCTGCTCAGAGTCCAGGTGGACACTGGTGGCAAATGGCCCACGGCTGCCTTCTACCCACCGCCTCCCAGGGAGGGCCCATTGATCAGGCCAGACCGCTCAGCTTCTGCTCAAGCGGGTCCGTTCTCCGCCCTTGCTGAGCAGTCCTGGGTGATGGAGAGGCCAGAATTGGGGGCCTCAGAAGCGGTCAGCCACAGTGGACATGCTGGCACAACTGGATCCTCCAGGAGCTCACAGGCTAAGGGGAACTAGGATGTGCACCCCTGTTCCACTAGGACTGGGTGGAGCATGTAAGGTGTTAAGTAAGACACAAGGGGGATTTCACCCCATAGACCCAGGACACAGGCAGAGGGGTCAGGGCAGCTCATGTCACTTGAATTGAGCATTGAGGCAAAGTAGGATTTGGATTGGGGACAAAAGAGAAGACGTTCCAAGCAAAAGAAACAGGCTGTGCAAACCGCGGGGGCCTAGCAGGCGCCTCAGTAAACATTCGTGGACTGTAACGGGGTAGGGGAGGCAGAGGGGGTCCCTGGGGAAAGCAGGCACCTTGGGTCCTGTTGCATCAGAAAGTACCACAAACCTGTGCCAGAGAAGGCAGGACAAAGGAGAGGAAACCTGAAAAGCAACTGTTATTTCAGGACCTGGCAGTGGAGCCTGAGTGCCTGCAGGGCAGAGGTTGGGCTCTGATCTCTGCACCCACAGGCCACTTTCCCTGCTCCTCCCCTTCGGCTGGTGGCAAAGCTATAATTATGGGGAAGCATTTTTTTAGCTTAGGTGGAACCTGAACTTCAAATGCACTCAGACAGCCTGGAGGTGTGAATGAGCAGCTGGAGCCCTCATGGGTGCCAGCCCTCTGTGCTGCTCACTCCCCTTCAGGGGTGCACCGCCCCTTCATGCTTGAGTGCAGAGAAGTCAGTGTCTGGCCTGGAGCAGTCAGGTGGGATGGAGCCCTGGACACCTCTCTTCCCCCCACAGGATGTCCTGGCTGCATCTCTGCAGAAAAGCCCATGGTTCCAGAGTCTGCAGGAACCGCTGCATCCACCCTCAATCACTCTCTCCCCATAGCCCCTGGGTCCCAAGTACCCTTGAAGTCCTTGAATGCCCCCACCCAGTGCCAAGCTCCACCTCCTTGAGGACCTTCCATCTTCCTGAAGCATTGTCCCCCCCCCCCCCATTCCTAGCCTGCCCCCTTGGGTCTCAGCTCCACTACCTCTTGCTCCATGCAGCCTTCCTGGATTCCTCCAGGCTATTTTACCTGCCCCCCCCCCCCTTATATGTTCTCATCGCCTCTATTCTCTTTCTTCATGGCACTTACCAAAACAGTCATTTCTATAATCATCTGTGTCGAGACCCGTTCATCATCTGCTCTCCCCCTAGATGGTGGGCTAGCTCCCTGAAGGCAGGAAGGCACCCCAGCATGGGCCCCCCAGCATTTAGCAGTACCTGGCTTGCAGTTGGCACTCAGTAAAAATTCCTCTAGTGACCGAATGTCTTCAGTCAGCTCCTGGGGGACCTGGGTCACCCCTAGCCCAGTGCTGGCACACAGCAGGCTCTGGATAATGCCTGCTGAAAGAAATGTTGGGGACTTAAATTTGAATATGTCTCATACTAATTAAATTATAACCCCCAAAACAAGAAGGCATGGTGGAAAAAAGGCAGGGGGTGGGGCTAGTGAGAGCCCCCTCCTAAAGGAAATGCCCCGTTTTACTTGAAAACATTACAAACAGGTGTGGGGGGAGGGAAGCACCCTGCCTCTCCATCACCCCAGGGTGGAGTCAGCTCTTCCAGGACACTGCTGCGTTCTGGGCACCAGGGCATCTTTTTGTTTGTGGGTGCATTTTGTTCATTTCCATGAGAGCAGCCGGGAAAAACCAGCCCAGGCTTGGGCTTGAGGAGAGGACTGAAGTCCAGCGCATGTCCAGTCCAAGTAGCCTTGAACTGGAAACCTGCCCAGCGCCCTCCCCGGGGAAAGTCGGGTAGCCTCCCAGACCAGACGGCAGTGGGTGGAAATAGCAAGGCTGTCAGGATTCCCTGGGAATAAACCCTTGGGTCAGAGGCCTTTTGTCCGCAGCCTAGATGCCACCTAATGGGTCTCCCTTGAAACCAAATGACTCTCCATTCCTGGATGCGTGAACCCCCAACACCCGTGTCCTGGGAGAAGCAAGACAGGGCCACTTGGACCTGCAGCCCTGCCAGCCCCGTGAAGCAGGTGGGGTGGAAATGATAATCCTTTTTACAGATGAGGAAAAGTGATGAGAGACCTAAGTGTGGGGGTACAACTGCCAGTGACTTGCCCAGGCTGGGCACTGCTGGCCTCCCCCTGGGCGAGCCCTTGTCACTAGATCAGGGCTGTGTTCCACATCAGCCTCAGTGCTCTGGTCAGAGATTAGCCTCCTCCTGTATGAAGGCAAAGGCCAGCAAAGGAATCCTGTACCAGGACCGAGCCTTGGCCTGATTTTGGCTTTGTAGGGACCCCAACAACTTGGGATGCTTAGTAAAGAGATCCCTTCCTGCCCTGAAATCCTATCGCTTTAAAGAATATGTGGTCTGCTTTCTATTTAAAATTCTTTTTTAAAAAAGATTTATTTATTTATGCATACAAGAGGCCAGAGGTGTGGGGGTGAGAGGATTCACCAGAGACAGAGTGGGGAGCAGAACAGACCGATCAACCAAAGTACACTGCTGAGGGGAGCAGCGGGCGAGACAGGAGAGGTCTGCTGCGCCATGTGGGTAGCTCCCTGGCTGGGGATTGAACTCATGCTGCAGAGGCTGGGGACAGCGTCATAGTGCTGTGCTTAGCCCCTTGCGCCCCCAGGGAGGCCCTCTATTTAAAATTCTTTCCCACCTTTTCTCCCCCTCATAAACGAGGGCCCAAAGAGTCTCTCTTGACAAGCTCACTCCCACCCGTGGGCGTCTTGGATGGGGTTTCTCGTTTCTGTCGCTGGGTCTGGAATCACAGGTTTTCTGAACGTACAAGCGGAAGACTCGGGATGGGGTGAGCGGACTCTGCCGGGAGGCGCTGGTGGCGGTGGCAGCTCAAACCGTGTGTTTATTTTTCAGGACTAGTCACAGCGACTCCAGTATTTACATTCGACGACATAGTAATAGGTCCCTGGAATCGGTTAGTATGTGATTTCTTCTCCTTTGTAGGCCCCTGCTAATCGATTCCTTTCCATCCTGCCTCCTCCCCGGCCCAGAGCTTTGAAATGACTGAGGTGCAGCGACTGTCCTTTGGGATAGAAGACAAGCACGTTGAAACCTTGTCGTTAAGCTCCGTCCAATCGAATGTCCAGTTTGGGCAATAAGGGGTGTGAATAAAGTGATGATTTTAAAGCCCAAAGGCTTCTTTGTTATAAAAAAAAAAAAAAGGCAAAACAAAACCCACGGCCAAGATCCCACCCCCACCCTGTACACCCCCCACTCCCCAGAAGGGTCGCCTTCAGAGGCAGAGGTGCAACTAATGCGGGGGATCACAGCTGCTTAACCCTGGGTGCCCTGGGACCTGTAGCACCCAGCCCCAGCCCCATTCACATCGTGGGGGGCGGGGCCTCGGTCCTCAGTGGGGGTGCGGGGGGAGCGTTGAGGAAGTGTAGACTGTCACTTAGTTTGCTTTTGGAACTAGGTGTTGCAGCACTGAGAAAAGCTTGGCGTGCTTGGCTTTGTGTGTTTAAAATCATCTTATTTTCTGTTTCAGAGATTTCATCTTTACTAATTGGGTTTGCGGGGGTTTTGTTTATAAATTTCACTGTAGGATCATTTTAGCCACATTCACCTGAGGAATGCAGCGGGAGTGGACGACAGAGGAAATGGGATGTTAACCAGGTGGGTGGCTTTGCTCTGCTGCCAGCATTGTGGGGTTGCAGTGGATTTCTTTCTTTCTTTTCTAATGAGGCAGTCTACCATATTGGGGGGGGGTGCTTATTTGTTCTCCAACTCTGCTTGGTTGATAACCATGTAGTCTGGAAATGCGGGGAAATACCCCTTCAGAGAAAATGAACTTAAACTGAATGTGAGAGGGAGGGTGATTACCCGGATGGGCGAGGTGTGGACCAGGAAATGGTTGCATTTCCAGAGGGTCTGGGGGATCTGCCCGCACCGCAGTTAGAGAACGCAGTGGCAGAGGCCTGCTGTCCCAGGTGGAGCAGGGTAGGAGTGGGGGGAACACTGCGTGTGCCTTGCACACGCGCCTGACGAGTGTGTTCGTTCTGTCACTGCAGGTACAATACTCAGAAGCTCACTGAGCTGATTTTACAGTTTTATGGCATCAGAGCAGACATGAAGAGGGAGTACAAACATGCCAGAATGTCCATGAAAGTATTTCCTACTGTTAAGAGAGAACTCGATAGTCTGAGATTGCAGAATGACTGTGAAACCGCCCATGTAGCACCTCGGACATCAGACACCCCTCTAGAGCTCAAAGCTCTGAGCTGCCCCCGCCCTGTGAAAGCTATCGGGTTTATTTTATTGATTTTTTCCCCTTTTTGCCATGGATTTAAATTCACTTGGAAGGACCTAGGTTATAGGGAGCAGAAGCCTCTGAATATTTCTGGGCACCTCAGCAGGTCACCCTTAGAATGAACTCTACCCTGCTGGCTTCTGCAAGGGAAAAAGTAGCAAGACATGTCTTCCTCTCCTGAATCCAATGGGAATAGGCCCTCACCTCTTCCTCTGGGCTGCGCACACTCATTGGAAAATCATTCTTTCAGCTTTTATGAGCAGGAGACTCTGAAAATGGAAGTCACAGCGTTGGGGGGGTGCAGTTGGGTTTGCCTTATGTTGGGCAGTTATTACCTCTGTCATCCAAGATAATCATAGCTAAGTTAGTTTCTGAAAATGTTTTTAAGAAAGAGACATTCCAGGGCTTCCCCTGGTGGCGCAGCGGTTGAACACTGGGCTGCGAGGCTGCCCGCAGCCTCTGCAGTGCCGGTTCGTTCCCCGGCTAATGGCGAGGGTCCCACAAAAAAAAAAAAAAAAAAAAAAGAAAGAAAGAGACATTCCAGCAGTGTCCTGTTCTCTGCTGGCGAATCAGTTTCCAAACCAAGGCAAATGTGTCATCGCTGGGGCCTCACCGCTCCGGGTGTCAGGAGTGGTCCAGGCAAGGTTTTCCCTTCTCATAATCTGTCATGCACTTGAATGGCCCTAAGAAGCTTATGCTCTAGGCTTCTAGGAATGTAACTTCAAGCAGAATCCCCTTCCAATAAGATCAGAACCCCTTAGCTCCCCTTGTGAAAATTGAGGGGGGTGACCCCCACACAGCATCCTTCTAAACTGACAGAAGCAGAGTGTCCTTGTAACACCTGCCTTCTCTAAAGCAAAAGAAAGTAAATCCGACTGAAATCAGCTCCAGTAATTATTTTAAAGGTTGTGTTCAGAAGCTAATAATGAAAATTGGTGGCAGTTGGAGGTGTCTTCACTGTTTTTTGGTGGCTGTTTCTCAGTGACCCACCGTCAGGGAGTGCCTGTGCCCTGAGGTGACTTCCAGGGTCCCCGTGTTACCAGACAGAGAGTCTGTGTGTAATGCACAGGGAAGGGCACAGTGGGGCAAAGGGCGGCCTACACGGCTGTCACTAAGACTGTGGCCTCGGACGAGCCACCCAGCCTGGGAGTCTCAGTGTGCCCGTCTGTGAAGTGAGGTCTACACCACCCCTTAGTGTGGTAGAGAAGAACTGAAAACATGGGGGAGCTCAAAGGGCCCCAGCCAGGCCCTCACCTCGGGCCTCTTGACTGCTTCCCTGGGAAGCCCCGAGCTCCCCAGGTAGGCAAGGATGTTGGGGTGCAGAGGGAGTAGAGCCCCTGTGACTGGCCCCTTGTAACTGCCTTGCCTGTCTTCCCTCTGCAGGAAGGCCAAGCATGCTGGGGAAGCCAGGCTGCAGGCGAGCCCAGGCCCGCAAAGCGACTCGCTGACCCAGTTTGTCCAGCAGCCGGACATGATGTATTTTATCCTGTTCCTCTGGCTGCTGGTGTACTGCCTGCTGCTCTTTCCGCAGCTGGACGTCAGCAGACTCTGATGCGCGTGCCTGGACAATAAAGAAGACAGCACCCTGCCAGGGGCCGCGGCTCCTTTGACTTCTTTGCTCTGGGTTCTGAATCGGGCACCCGGCAGATGGTTGAGGACCCCGAGGAAACAGACTCCTCACCCCACCCCCTTGCGCCACATTTCCTTTTCCTCCTGTAAGTCCTAAGCATGCTTTTCTGTCTGTACAAAGCTCAGGTAGGTGGCCGCGTCCCAGGAGCGCTGGTTCTGGGCCTTGCCGGGTGGGGTGTTGAGTGTCTCACTAATACTTACGTAAACATGACCGCTTGTAGCTTATCCCACCTACGGGTTTTTAAGGAGTGGACTGGAGTCACCTCTCTGATAAGGGTCCCCCTGGTGAGAAAGAGGGCAGATGCCCCAGGCAGAGACTCCTGGGGTGAACACTACTGCAGGAGAGTGGAGGTGCTAGGGCTGTGCCCCCAAGCCTGGTGGTGGGTCTCGTCTGTGGGGCCTCAGACAGCAGCTGGAGGCTGCCCTGCTGGCTCCAGAAAGCACAATGTATGAGGAGGGATGTGAAGGCTGAGCGTGTGCGGTACGTACTGCGCTCCAGTTCAGCTTGCGCCCTCGACATTTGGGGGGTGGGCAGGGTGGACTTGGGAACCAGGTGTGGGTTGCATTTTAAATTCATCTTTGCAGTGACTGTACTGAAGTAGACCTGTGATTTTCAAACTTCTACCAGGGGAACCCTCCTTTGAAGTGAAATCTTAGGAGCCCTGTGTAGACGAGACATTTAAAGCAAGGCCTGCTGACACCAGGGGTGCCCTGCAAGCCACCCCTTTGGCTTCCTTGGATGGCTCCTGAGCCATCTGTGCCCACCCCCACAGTGCACAGGCCACGGCCAAAAGCCCGAGGAGGCTTGTGGACAGAGCTGGGTTAAGAGTAAGCCCCAGCTGGGGTGCAACCTGCACGTGGCCCCACAGGCCCCTCCTCCCCGCAGCCTCTGGTCCTGTCTGGGAGTGCGAGTCTCCGCAGTGTCCTCTGGTTGGTCAGGTGGGTTTCTCGAAAAGATTCTCTGGAAAGCACTGCAGAAAGCAGCCCTGAACATGCCCTCGGGTCCACCCCCTTCCATCTCCCTGCTGCTCTGAACCGCACCCCCAACTCCACCCTGTTATGCTTCCTCCTCCCATTGTCCACCCCCTCTAAAGGCATGGAGCAGTCACTAAGAAGGATCAGGCCGGGCAGAGTCTGTAGAGCATCAGATGAACCCAGAGAGGCAGAATGGACAGTCCAAGGTTGCACAACTAACCAGGAACGAACTTGCCAGCACACTCAGGCCACCTGATGCCCAGGCCAGAGCGGTCACCTGCTTTAGGTCCAGCGCCGGGGCCCAGGAATGTCCTGGAATAAAGATAAAGAACTAGATTTAAATGGCCTCTTTCAAACAAAACCTCAGTTTCTAGACCAACACTCAACTTTGGTTGTGTTTTGCTATTTTTCCCATGAGGAAAGTTCTTCCACCCTCAAGCGTGTCCACTACGACTTCTGGAATACCCAGGACAGTTGTAATGGCATATCCCCTGGCGTTGTTCTTGCGCCCCAAATCACATTTCTCTCTTCGCTGGCCAAGGCCTGCTCATTTCAAGCAGTTAAATTAGCTTGAATTATTTCAAGCAATGGATTTCAGGTTTATAGGACTCCAGCATAGCCAAAAGAATTTGCATAGCACATGTGAGTCGATGACAGCTCAAATCTGGCCTCTAACCCGTCTGCCGATACCCCCCACCACCACCACCACACAAGAGAATAGAAGCCTTCCAGGCCCTATGCTGTTGGGAGCAAGTAGTCATCCTTGAAGGCCAAGTATCCCATGGAAAATGAGCTAATTAATGGGCTCCCTGGCTTCTCTGAAAGCTCAGCGCTACAGAGAATAAAGATTGTATGTGTGTTATTTTATAAGCCTGGATGGCACGTGGTCCTCACCTTAATTAGACACTGGAAGAGCCAGGGAAGCGCTGACCCAAACATGAATCGTTTTGTTTTATGGTTCAAACCTTGTCCAGAAAAATCTCTGCAGGCTTCGTCTCTCCCCATTATATTGTGTAATATTATTTTAAACCAATGGTTGGCGAAATGCCTGAAAGTCATTGGTTCAGGCTGGCAGCAAACTGACTTTTTTTTTAAGAGGGAAAAAATATTCTCTAGAGGATAGGCTTATATGGAAGAAGCTGGACATAGAAGCCTGCAGAACAAACCATCCCATGGCTTGTGATATATTTTCAAGCATTTAAATTCTTATCCAAGTAATTAATTCTAGAAGGCTTTTAATGAAAACTAGCCATTCCCAAGTCTTGTGCCTAAAAGTAACATTTTCACCTCCTCTAGCTTCATCTCTGAATATTTACCTCTGCATTTTTACATTGCATGTTTATGGCTCTTTTTTATTTTTCATTTTTTAAAAGATCGATTTACAAGGGCGGGAGTGTAGGCCAGGGGATGTGAGAGGATTCACCAGAGACAGAGCGGGGAGCAGAACAGGCGGATCTACTGAAATACACTGCTGAGGGGAGCAGCGGGTGAGGCAGGAGAGGTCAGCTGCCACTTCCCTGGCCAGGGATCCAGCTGTTGCTGCACTGGCTGCTAATAGCTTCATAATGCTGAGATTTAACCCCTTGCGTCATCAGGGAGGCCCCTATGGCTCTTCTTTTAAATGAATTTAGAGTTGTCAGCTGAGTGGCTGTGATGGTAGATGAGTCCACCCTTATCCACTTTGGTTTTAAGTATAGTTATTTGTGACTCATCTCCATTCAGAGTGAGTCTATGAGGACTATATACACCTGAACCCAGGAGTGCACTCTGGTTACATGTCCTTTCTTGTCACATTTTCTCCCTTTGATTTAATTTCAGGTGGAGGCAGGTGGGGAGAGCACATTCTTTAATAACTTCCTGAGAAGGAGAACAGGAGAAGTAAAGATTGCTGTAAGCTATTTTGAGAATTTGCATAACTTCAATTGTCTTTACACTGCCCTTACCCAGTGTGGCTGGACAGAGAATTGCAGGCAGAAGGTAACACCCTCCTAGCACCTCCCAACGTGGTGGTGACATTTCTGATGTTGCGCTCACTCCCGAGTCTTTCGATGTGACTGGGGTATCTCCCCCTTCCCCAGAAACCTCAAAGATCCCTTTGTCTTTGTGCTGTGAACTGTCCTGGTGCTAGAATGTCCTTGCTGTTGTGCCGGCTGCAGGTTCTCTCGGGGAATTTTTATATTTTCTTGCATCTGTTCACATTCTTTCTTTCTGGACCACCTATTATTCCAATGTTGGACCTCCCAGCCAGCCCTCTAGTTTTTATATTTTATCTTTTCTATGTCTCAGATCAATTTTATTTCTTCTTCAGGGAGAGCTATGTGGCTCTATTATCCCAGGGTTATTTGTTAGTTTTACTAAAATTTTTTCCCAATGTTTAGTTTTCAGTTTTAGTTTAATCTTTCATTTCCAAAGCATTTTGTTCTCTTGCTTCTGGTTTCTAGTGTCCTGGTCTTGTTTTGTGAGCGCAACCCTTCTCTCTCTCTGGCCGTTCCTGAGGTGGGTTTTTAGGAAGTTCTTCTCTGCTTCCTGTTCTACCTTTGTTTCCTCTGTGTTGCATTTCTCTGGTTGGTCTCAGGCTCTGCCTCTCATGTTACAAGTTTTTCGCAAGTATCTGGTGATCCTGTGGGTCTGTTCATGTTGAAGATGTTGACACATTGGCCATGTCAGGACTGGCTTGTGGGGTTGGCAGGTAGATGCTTCACCCAAGGATGAAGCGGGTCTCTGCTCAGGGCTCACTGCATTTCTCCAGACCTCTTTCCATTTCTGCCTGAGAAAGGGACGTGCACAGGACCAGCCCATGCCATGTCCCCATGCAGTTTCAAAAAAGGCATGCACTCTTGGATGCCATAGGGAAAGGTCCTCTCATGGCACAGAGCTCAAGTGGCTGAGGGCACCTTTTCCTCTTCCTTGAGGCAGATGCAGCCTCAAGCCAGGACAAGTCAGGTGGGGGGTTGGGGGGCAAGCAGAGGCTGGATCTCTGCTCCCAGCTGTCCCCTAGCCGGGCATCTCATGCAGTGCCCACCTCATGCTGGAGCCCCGACCTCTGAGCAGGCTGCCTCGTCATGGTCAGCGTTGACTCCTGGTTTCTCTGGGTCAGAGCGGCTCTCATTCTCCCTGGAGCAAGTCTGCTGCACCTGGCCAGTCAGGGCCCTGCCTCTGTGGGTGCAGGGGGCTCCTCTGTCCCACCATAAATAGGTTGGCATCTCTTGCCCACTGTATGTCTTCTCTGTCCCTTTGTCTCAAAGTTGCGCCTCCATTCCTTTGCTCTTGTCTTCATGGGGTTCACAAGGCAGGAAAAGGAACCCATGTGTTCATTGCACCCCCTTAAGCCACAGGTGCCCACAGAGTTATCTCGCCACTTTGTTAGATGGCCACCACTCTGTTGACTTGTCTGTGAACTGAGTCTTTGGCCACGTCCTGCTCTGTGGGCAGCTGGGTCCCTGTGTGATGCAGTGCCGAGTGCAAGGGAGTGCGGAGCCAGCCGGGAGCCCGAGAGCTCCTGCTTGTAGCTCTGCCACCATTCAGGCACTCTCCCACCTCACCTCCCTCTTCAGCTCCTACCCCCACAAAACCATCTCAGATTGCCCAGCTCCCCACAAGCTCCAGTTGGTGGACTCTTACAGCTCTCATTTCTGGCCCCCCTCACATATTTGTAAGCCAGCAGCCCAGTGCGCCAACAGGACAGCTCCTCTGAGGGTTGGCTGCTGGGGCCAGTCCCTCCTGGTCCAGACCTGGGCTCTGTGTATGGATGTGCTCCCCACAGCTAAGGATCAGGGGACAAGCCACCCAGGACAGAGGCTGCTTCGCCCTTCTGGACCTCAGCACAGTTCTCCCCAGCCCCTCTGGGCATTGCTTATCTGCCCCTTACAAGCAGGGGTGGGGGTGCGTGTGGAAGACAAGCATTTAGAGGTGGCCTGGGTGATCACGTATCCCTGCACCTTGTTTTAGAAGTGAGAAAACTGAAGATCAGGTTAAATGATGGGCCACGCTCCTAGTTCCAGCCCTCGGGTGAGACATCTTCATTCCTGATGGAGTTTTCTTCAAAATTAGAACCTCTGGCCACTGTAGTTAACCTGCACACCCCCCCCCCCAAACACACACACAACAAAGACACGGGAGGCATGGGGCTAATCTGGCCCAAGGAGTCAGGAAGGGAGGAAGGACGTGCCTCAGTGACGTCGGGGGTCCTCTGTCCTGTGGTTTTGTCACTGCCATCGGAGACGGGAGCTCTTGCAGGTGAGCTCCAACTTCAGTCTCCAGAAGGCCACTGGAGGAGTTTGATGCCTGCCCTTTGTGCTGGGAGACAAGGCCCCGCCCACACTCAGCTTCCTGAGGTGCCCCCTGGGCTGTGTGCTCTGGCCAGGAAACAAGCTCAGAAAGCCCTTTGGGCCCAGATGTGCTCTCTCCCTCTCCCTGCTGTTGCACCATCTCCGCTGAGCCTGCCGGTCTGGAGGATTTACTGCCCTGGGCCCCTGTGCAGAGCTGGTTTGCCCTGAGTCCATCCAGCTGGTGGACGGGGGCTGGATTGAGGCCCAGGCCCCGGGGGCTGGTGGGAAACTGAGCGCTGGCCTGAGCGACATCGCTCTTATGGGCCACAAGTCACTGCAGTTTGCCTTCACAGTTAGTGTGGGAGGGAGCCAAGAAATGAGACCTGGGGAGCTTCCTGGCAGGACCCTGAATCCACAAATCTTGTTGACTCTTCTTCTGGTCCGCATTTCCTTGGGGAACAACAGTCAGCAGCTCAGGGAAGTGAGCCTGGTGCAGGAGCAGCAGGAGTTTAGCACAAGTTGCATCCAGACTCTTCCCTTTCCCTCTTGTACAGAGTTGAGCCTGAGGACTCCACAGGGCACACGGCCCTGCTTGCTCTGATTCTTGGGAGTGCCCCAATGGCCTTCAAGCCTCGTTATTTCTCTGTGTACATACGGCCGGGCTGGACATGAGCCTGGCGGAGGCTGGAGCCACAGAGCTGCTACTTTGCGAGAGTCAGTGACCATCAGGGTCCCCAAGCGCCTCTGAGAAGTACTGCCAGGCCCCACGGTGCCAGCCAGAGCCACCTCTTTGTGTTGATTGTTTGTTCTGAGAACCTCGAAACACATCAGGCCAGCAGTTCTTCCCCATCCAGGGCTGTCATCTCAACAAGCCAGAAAACATTCTCATTCATGGGAAAAGCCATCCGAGATGCGTGTCCGGCCCGCACTGGCTTGAAATCACTCCAGCACAGCCTCTAAGGGCCTCACCCCACTGCTGGCTTAAAACCCAGCATGCAGGTGTCAAGTCTCACTTTCAAGAGTCTCCCTAACTGAATTCATTTATTTTTTAATCTCTTCCTCCTCCTTAGGGGGCATATTATGGGGTAGGGAGAGAGGGCAGGTATGGGGAGCAGCCAGATGGAGGCCCAGTCCCAGCTCTGTCACCAGGTGCTGGATGAGCTCAGGCCGGCAGCCTCTCTGCCTGCTTGTGCACACAGCACACGCACAGGCCCTGTTTGTGGCTGAATAACAGCTGCCTCACGAGTTTGTCAGGACATGGTAAGTCTCTGCAGTCCTCACTCCACGTTCCCGCCTCTCCAGTCTCCACTTACGTGGCTCCTCGCAGCCTCCCGCCTGTCCACCTCTCTTGCCAGCTGCTCTGTCCCCAATACAACGACTGCCTCTTACAAAAGAAACTTGGGACCATTGTATACCCGTCACCTCGTCTGACCCTCGCAACAATTAAGGCGGTGGTGGTTTCAGGAAGGAAGGAAGGAAGGAAGGGAAAAATAAGGTCATGGAGCTTGTGAGTGGCAGGGCCGCAAACACGGGGCTCTTATTTCAAAGGCTGCTAAAGGGATGCCTGATAAAGATTCTGCTTCGTGGTGACTTTAACCTTCTTGCAAGGTGTGGGCAGAAGTTCTTGGCATTGGAAAAGCAGGGAACTTTGTATGTCACCACTTTGCACCCTTCCTCCCCTCGAGGCCTCTGCATACTTGGGCTCCCCAGCCACATCAAACTGCCTAACTATCCCCTGCATCCGAGGATGCCCCATTTTCATGTTTTAGCCTGTGGTTGCAAATTTGCAACCAAATGACTGCCTCTAAAGGACCTTTGGCAGTGAAATCTCTGTGTCTGACAGAAGATTTTAGTTATTCATTTAATTCTACATCCCTCCCCCAGCTAATCGCCTCTCCACTGCCGATGCATGCTTTTCAGAGCAGGAAACCAGGCTTTCTCCTTCCATAAAAGCCAATTAGTTCCATTGTGCTGGGCAGAGGGCCCTTAAAATGGGGATAGGAACATGGATTGCTTGGATGAAACCCAAATCATTTGGGAGAGAGAGAAAATCCCCCCCCCTTTTTTTTTATGAAGGGCAGGCTTGATGCACTGACTTTTATGTTAATGGTTGTGTGTATGTGTGTTTGAATATTCCAAAATCTGTTTACCCATTCTTTTCTCTCTCTGTCCATCCCCACCATCCTCTATACCCTCTGCCCCTTCCCCCTGCCTATCCCCATTAACCTCAGATTCCTCACCGTATTTATTAATGCAACCTAGTTTTTGTAAGTATTTTGCCATATTGAGCATTTGTCTTTGTGATTCTGACTGGCTTTACTGTACCTCGTTCCCTCAAATGCTGTTCTGCTGAGAATGGCTAATTCTCATCTTTTCTTTGGCTGCATAGTCTTCCACCGTGTGCCTATACCACAGTCTACTGATAGGCAGAATTATGTTTTCTTTAAATTTAAAACTCTCTGGAAAGGTTGACGGCTTTTGCCATCACCACTACTTCTTTTAGCCACCCACAGCCACCCACCGACGTCAACAAGAGTGTGATCTGTGCTGTAATGAGAAAGAGCCACAAATGCCTGTGTTCCCAGATGCCATGCGAGCATGGAAACTTGTGAGAGGTACTCTGGGAATATCTGTCACCTGGGGAGTTGGCATTGTTCCAAAGCAGGACAAGGCTGGCCTGACATCAGGAAACGACATTCTAGCTCTGGTTCAAGGTGATGACCTCTCTGGTTGGAAGTCCAGAACACCCCTTTTAAAAAGTCCTTCCTAGGTTTAAAATTCCAAAGGTGACAAGTTCAATTTTTTTTTTTTTTAAATCTCAGGAAGTTATACCTATTTGCTGTTAAAACAAACACACCTCTAGAAGTGAACTCCAAAGCTTAGAACATCACTTTCCATCCCTAGTCTCTGAGGAAGCTTTGGAAAAACAAAATAGTCTGTTAAAGGTGCGGGGTTGAATGTTTGGAGTAGAACGTGGGAGATGATCTTCCAGGGCTCCCGGGACAAGTGGGCTCCTTAAGTTAGCATCTGGCATCATTTCCCAGGGGAATTCAGCTGCAGGAATTTTTGTTCCTTCCCCAACTGGACTCAAGATACATAGCCATGGAAATTCCACTGGGAATCTGAGGCTGTTTGTGTTCTCACATTGGCTCCTACGTAGCAAAGGCTGGCAGCTTGGTGCAGAAGGTCCCTGAGGTGGGTGTGGTACCCCGGGGAGGGCGAGGTGCAGAGGAAACCAGCCCTCTGTTCTTGAAATTGTACCATAAGATAGCTGCCTGCTCGCTGGCTTTGGTGCTGGTGATAGCAGCCAAAGAGTAAATGTGGGAAAATGGGTGTGCACGTCCCTGGGAGAAAAGATAAACCTGGAAACGGATTTGTTCAGAGCATATACTTTTGGATGGTGGTAAGTGTTTATTTTTTCAAGATCTGTAATGTGTTTTAACAGATTTAATGCTAGAATTTCTTTTAACGCCACAGCAGGACTTGACAATGTCTAAGAATTTTTACTGAGAGCTCTAAGAGAACTATTGAAAAAAGGTGAAATGCTATTTTGTAGTACAAGGATTATTTTGTCTATTGAGTATATACATAGCTGTAGCTTTGTAAAAAGGGGTCTTTGTAAAACAATTGTATGAATGTGTACTCTTATTTATTGATTATTGTAAATGTAGATTAAATGACTATTTGCATAATTTATACCTGTGGGGAATTAACTGGAGTATTTGTTACTTGACTGTTTTCTATTAAGGAGTATCAGGCTTGGTGCTACGATGAACGGTCTTGTAAAATTACATGTATTCCTAAGAAAAAACTTGAGTATAAATCTCATGAACCGACCATCTCATTGATAATTTTTATCTCCATGTATGTTTGTGCCTTTGCCAACCAGAAGTTACACTCTTTACTTTATTACAGCAAACAGTACTGTTCGCAGGATAAAGACCAACAGAAATGGTTTGGTAAAAACCAAATGAAACCAACTGACTTTAGAGTCGTAGGTTTATAAGGAAGATACCCTGACAAACTGTGCAGTAACCTTGAACCTGTGTTTGTGAAGTTCCAAGAAGATACAGCAGGAGTGGGGGTGGGGTGGGGGGGTGGAGGTGGAGGTAGTGTCTCTCTTGAGAGAGGCCATCTGTTTGCTCCTGGTTTGGCCACTTCCCTGTTCGTCCTGCCTCTCCCGGTATTGACCTGAGATGTCCCTAGCCTGCTGACCTTGTCCTCATGGTCCAGAATGTGTTTGCCCATCCAGAAAACCCACCCCTGCTCTGGGCTGCAGAATGGAAGAGACAGAAACTGGCACCACGGCCTCTGGAGACTTCCCAGGGGAAGCACATCTCATCTCCCAAGCTGACAGACTATTTCTTTCCTCCCAGGGAGCAGGAAAAGTGGCCTTTGGTGAAGACTGCTCAATGAATTACTGACCAGGAGGTGGGATGCAAGTTGGGACAGGCAACGGGTGGCCTAGCGGTCGGGGCTGGGGCAGGAGGTGGGTGGGGCAGTTTGTTCATTAAACACATTTATGGCTGCCCAGGGCAGGTGCTGGCCAGGTGTTGGTGTAGAGACAGGAATAAGGTAACTCCATCCTCTGAAGGAGCTCACTGAGCAGCTGAAAAGAAAAGTGATGCATGTGGAACCTACCACTTTTCTCGAACATGCCCGAAGATGCTAGACTGGGATTCACTAGACAATCATAAAACTCTAAAAACTTCCTATGAGCTGGGTGGCCTGGCTTTGCCCATGAGAAGTTTGAAGCTGGAGGAATGGATTCATTCACCTGCTGAGTTAGGACAGGAACGCTCACCAAGGACTTTCCCCTTCACATCAGTCTGCCCCTAGAAATACCACCCCCAAAAACAAGGTGAACAGGGGCTGGGGTCCCACACTGCTTCTACATGGGCTCAGAGGCCCACAGGGAGCACAAGGCCTCCAGGGTTCCTGTCAGACCCGGGGGAGTCCTGCCCTGGGGAAGGAAGCGGGGCAGGAAGGCTTCCCGGACCCCGCTCCAGGCCCAGTTCCCTGCGGCCTCAGGAGGTCTCGGCTCCCAGACCAGAGCCCTCAAATGTGGAGGAACAGCAGCCGCACGTGAGCGTGGCAGCAGCTGCTGTCTGTAGGAATACTCGGGAATAACCCAAGACGAATGTTCCTGATAGATTTGAAGAGCATCTTTATTTCTTCCCCTCTAAACAGAGTCCTAAAGCTCTATTAGTTTTCTTAGGATTCAGCCCCTGCGACCCACTATTCATCATTTGCAGGTTTTTTTGTGCCACTGCCATCGCCCTCGGGAGGTCCCAGAGCCTTGAGTGTTGTCGATGGCAGCAGCATTGCCAACTTCACCTGGCCCTGGACAGCCATGTCCCTGACAGCCATGTCCCAGCTACTGCGATGAGACAGGAAGGGCAGTTGGTGCAGAGGGCTCCGCCTTGCAGACAGTTTGAGAACCCTGGTGTGAAGTCGTCCTTCCTCCTGGAGAAAGTGACTGGGAGGAACCACAGCACAAACTGGGTATTGAGTGTGATTGCTGGTTATTCTGATCCTTATAGGTTGGTTGGCTACTTGGGCGGGAGGTTGGTGAGGTAGTTTTCAAATCACGGAAACACTATTTTATGTAAAATTGCTAAGGTGTATGAGCTCACCCCCTGGGGGCCCTGGGGGGAGACCCTGGTGACTCCTCAAGCAGGCACGTGGCTCTGAAGGTGAAGCTTGACTGGACCAGGGATCAGAGGCTCACCCGTCAGGCCCTGGCACTGCCTGAGAAGAGGCAGTGACTGTTGCACCTGGAGGATCAGAGAGCCCACTGCAGAGTTTTTAAAAGGCTAGGCTCTGTGGAAGTTGGGTCTGCAAGTTCTTTTTTTTTTTTTTTTTTTAAGATTTATTTTTGTTATGCATACAAGAGCTGGGGTATAGGCCAGAGGTGCTGGGGGTGAGAGGATTCACCAGAGACAGAGTGAGGACCAGAGCAGGCAGCTCTACTGAAATCCACTGCTGAGGGGAGCAGCGGGCAAGGCATGTGTCTGCTGTGCCATGTGGGTCAGCTCCCTGGTCAGGGATTGAACTCATGCCAGAGTGGCTGGCCATAGCTTGATAGTGCTGAGACTTACCCCCTGTGCCACCAGGGAGGCCCCGGGTCTGCAAGTTCTGATGTCGTCTTGATTCACGATCACGTGGTGACGGGGCTGGCTTCATTCACCAAGGGCAAGCGTTAGTGGCTCACGACGAAAGTTCTCTGTCTTGGCCTCAGCTGGCTTTGCCTGGTTATCTGCCTGCTTTGTCTTGGAACAGAGCAAGGATGAGGAACTTACAGTACTGGGCTGAGTGACGAGATTACTGAGGTAGGTGGCTCTGAGGCTCAGTGGCTTCGGGAGGTCACTAAGGTCTCGGTTGCTTCCATCTCTATTCCGCCATGTTTAGCATGGCGTTTCCCCCTCGTGTTCTCTCTAGGCCAAAAGATGACTTCTGCACCCCACCTCACAGTTCTGTGCCAGGAGAGGAAAAGCAGAGGAAAAAGAAAACATAAAATAATCACAAAGATGCTCTTGTCAGTCACCTGGGCCCACACTGTGGAATGTGTCCTGGGCTGCAAGGGAGGCTGGGAAATGTGGTTCTGTGGCCAGGAATGTCTCTGCCCCATAGGAAAAAAAAAAATCTGTTAATAAAAAAGAGAATGAACTTGGGGAGGCGGCTACTAGTGTCTGCTCCAGTCTCCTCTGTTCATCTTGGAAATTGGGATTATCTCAGTGTTTTCCCAATGGCACGCCTAAAACAATGGCCACTTATCAAGTGTCTCTCTTAAACCAGAAATTTTGTCAGATGCTTGATGTTCACTTTATCCCTCAATCTTCCCAGCAACCTTGAAGGTCAATTATTATCCCCATTTTATAAATGAAGCCATGAAACCTGGAAAATGTGAGAAGTGGCAAGTGTCTTGCCTAAGGTGTCCTGCAGGCAAGACATGACAAGACCTATCTGACGTCACTGTCCCTTAAATCCAGCTTTCCACTATAGACCATTATATATTTGATTATTGCCTCAGAGGGATGTGGCCCTGTCTACATCCCAGCTTCAATTTCAGCTCTCATTCCTACTGGGAAACAGGACTCCAAAAGCAGGGATTTTTCTAAGTGTAGAAAGACTTTGAAAGATGAAGGACAGAAAACATAGGAGCTGGTGTTGGAAAATGTTCTATTCCTGACTGTCCATGTCAGTATCCTGGATGTGGTATTGTCCCACAGTTTGGCAAGATGTTACCATTGGGGAAACCAGTAAGGGATCCAGAGAATCTTTCATTATTTTTTACAATTACATGTGAATGTACAATTATCATGAAAAGCTTAACCATGAAAAACATTAAGAGAATTAAAACGCAAGCCACAGACTGGGAGAAATATTTGAAAAATATATCTGATAAAGGACATTCAAACTATACAAGAAAACTCCTAGAAGTCAATTTAAAAAAGACTCAATTAAAAAGTGATAAAAAGATCTGAACAGATACCCCACCAGAGATACACAGATGTCAAATAAGCTTAAGATGCCTAACATTGTAAGTTATTAGGGAAATACAAATAAGATTAAAACAATGAGATCCCACTACAAACCTAGTAGAATGACAAACAGATGAACTACATAAAACAAAAATGCACTTTTCAATTATAAGACCAATTAGTGGTTGCCAGAGGGAAGGAGTAAGGAGGGTGGGTAAATCAGGTCAAGGGGTCCAGTGTATGGTGAAGGACAGAACAGGACTGAGTGTGATAGAAACATGTTTTTTTTAAGGGTGCATGCCTGAAACTTACGTGTTATAATGCAATGTTACTTCAATGTAAAAAATCTAAAAAAATCTAGCTAAAATCTAGAACACTGACAACATCAGGTGCTGATGAGGATGTGGGACAACAGGAACTCTCATTCACTGCCGGTGGGAATGAAAAATGGCACAACACTTTGGAAGACAGTCTTATGGTTTCCTACAAAGCAAGAAATGCAGTGAAGCCTATGATCCAGGTATTTATCCTAAGGCGTTGGAAGTTACATCTAAACGAAAACTTGAACGTGAATGTTACAGCAACATTATTCATAATCGTCAAAAACTTGGAAGCAACCAAGATGTCCTTCAAGAGGTAAATGGATATCAAACCCGATACACTCATATGATGCAAAATTCATCAATATAAAGAAATGAACTGCGGAGTGGTGAAAGCAAATGGAGGAACTTTAAGCACATATTGCTGAATGAAAGAACCCAGTAGGAAAAGGACACAGACTGATTCCAACTCTAGGATGGAGACAGTAGAAAGATCGGTGGTTGCCAGCGGGAGGGTGTCCGTACATGGGGTTTTTAGGGCAGTGAAACTGCCCTGCACCATGCTGAGTGGTAAATGCCTGGCATCATACATTTGTCAAAACCCATCAACTAATGTAGATAAGTTTGCTGATGGTAGCAAGTCCCACAAGGATACAGGATGTTCATAACAGGGCAGTGCAGAGAGGGAGTGGGTGTGGCACGCTCTGCACTTTCTGCTCAGATTTTCCTTGACCCTAAATCTCCCCCAAAATGAATCTTTTCACGTTTCTAAGTTTAATAATAAAATAAAAGATGAAGTACAGCCATGATTATAATAGGAAGTTGCTACAGAGTTACCTAGAAGGGTCAGCGGGGAGACCATTTGCCTGGTGAGGAGTGTAGCCAAACCCCAGAGGGGCACAAGTAGTAAATAAATACCAGAGTGAAAATGGCAACTGAGGAAATACAAGTTAAAAATGCTGCTTTATACTTACTCACTTAGCAAACTATGCTTCGGGGGATTATTTAACACAGACTAAGTCAAGCACACAATTGCAAATGCCACCTGGAGTTCACCAAGCCGTGAGGAACGTGATGCTTGGTGAACACACCCTTGCTACCATGGTGAGCAAACCCCCCATGGTGATGATCCGCCTTTTCATCAGAACATTCTAGAAATTATAAAATATGTTTCCTGAGCACCTAATTCAATAGAAGTTAAAAATTTATTGGGCAATATTAATCTCAGGAAAAAATGGCCCGAAATTGATGACATTTT